ACTAACCCTAAGCATTACCATGAATACGTAAGCCCCACAGCTCGCATGGGACTCAGGGCTGTAATGGTCCTAGTCCTTTACTGTGGGGCTCGGAGCACACACACCTCACAGGGACGAGGGGCACAATGGGACCTGCGGCTGACCCTGTTCCACTCCTCCACTTTGGTGGGGTGAGGACACCTGTATTCCTTAATAGTGTTTCGTGGATGTGTGTGTGTGTGTGTGTGTGTGTGTTTGCTTTGTTTTTGAAGAAACAGTTAATGGGTAAAGCAAAATGTCTCACTATTGTCTCCATCTGGCCAGTTTATATACCTAAGAAATACTTGAGGGACTGACAGTTTCTAAACAATATTTAAAGTTGTTTTCTTTGATTTTGTTGTTAGCTTTTCAAGACAGGGTTTCTCTGCGTAGCCCTGGCTGTCCTGGAACTCACCCTGGATTAAAGGGCTATGACACCATGGCTGGCAACAATGTTTAATATCCAGGTCCGGGTAGGGATTACACATCATACTCCTACTTTGGGAGACTGAGGCATGAGGCCATCTTTGGCTACAGACTTCCAGGCCAAGTCTGGGCTACATAAATCACTGTCTCAAAAAAAATTAAAAAAAAAAAAGAAAAGAAAAAAAAAGATATTTTAATTTCACTTTGTCATTTTATGTATGACTTACTACAAAGTTAAAATGAAAGATGCTTACAGCAACGTTTATGGAAGCTAAGTCCCTCTCTCATGTCGGTTCCCTTCTCCATGTAACTGAACACTGAACACTTTTTCCTTTCCTCCACAGAGCAGCTTGGCTTCCCCTCAGGCTGTCTGCGGTGAGCCCTGAAGAGCGCGGCCACTGCCCTTCCAGCCTGCACAAAGCAGTCACACACAGATAAGAGCAGGAAACTGGAGGTACCAGGGGCTCCATCCCGGAGCATTGTTCCTCTGCCTTCCGAGGCCCTGGCACAGTGAGGTGACTGCTTATCTCATCTGGACTAAATACCAAAGCCCAAGGCATCTATTTAAGGCAGTCGAAGCTTCCTCCTTGAATTTCAGATTTCTATCTCCAATGTCCGTTCTCATCCCTGTTCTGAAGTTGTGGCTTTTAGAATGAGAGTAACTGAAGCAGGTTTAGCATAGAGGAGGGGGTGGTGAGAAGTGGGCACACCTCAAATGTGTGAGAAACCTTCAAGTTTCTAAAGTGAGGGGCTGCAGCAGCCCCACAGAGTCACACTGCCTAGGATATGAGCAAAACTACATTTACAAATGAATTGTAATGTTGTTTCCAGGTAGGCTCTCCTATAGGCCAGACTGTCCTCAAACTCACTTAGGCAGACCAGGATAAATGTGAACTCAGCTGAGTCAGGAAGATGGTGAGCTGGAAGCCAGCCTGGGCTACATGAAAGGGGCTCAAATCTCCTTCCGCCTAAAAGTGTTGGTACATAATGCATTGACAACGTTACACTAGTAAAATAGGATGCACACCAAAGCGTGAGTCCTGAATGAGAACACGTGGAGGAGGCCCCAGAAGAGGCTAATTCCCGGACAGCGTAGAATGGGGCGTATCAGGGCAGGTGAGCACACAGTGAGTGACATTTGTTTGGTTTGAAGGAAAACTTCTGGAAATGTGCTGACCGGGCAATGGTGTGAATGCCAGTTGATGTCACAGACCCATATGCTTACATATGGACAGTGTGGTAGATTGTTATGACACATGTATTTAATCATAAGAGCTAAGAAGACAGCTGGGGGGGGGGTGGCTCGGCAGGTAGAGGCATCTGTCATCAAATCCGGCAATCCCCAGGTTTCACCTGGAACCCACAAGGTGAAAGGGGAGAATCAGTTCCTGAAAGTTGCCCTCTGACTGCCACACACACCGTGGCACATGCGTGCCCACACACATATGTCTACACACAGTAAGGAAATGTATTTTCTGGAAACAGGGTCTCACTAAGTATCTATGGCTGGCCTGGAACTCACTCTGTGGACCAAGTTGGCCTCAAACTCACAGAGACCTGCCAACTGTGTGCTGTGTTAAAAATGTGTGACACCAAAATGATATAAACATAACTTTAAAAAGATAGCCATGCATAGGTGGTATATGCCTTTAATTCCAGCACTCAGGAGGCAGAGGCAGGGGGATCACTGAGTTCAAGGCCAGCCTGGTCTACAGAGTGAGTTCCAGGATAGCTAGGGCTCTGTAGAGAGATCCTGTCTCCAAAAAAAGCCAAACCAAAACAAAAATATAAAAAGGTGAAGAGACAGGGGCTGAGGAGATGATTGAGCAGTCGAGCATTCTGGTTGCTCTTTCAGAGAACCTGAGTTCAGTTCCCAGCACTCTCATGGTAGGAATTCTAGCTCCAGGAAATCCAGCACCCTTTTCTAGCCTCTCTGCTCTCTGGGTACCAAGAATGAAAAAAAAAAAAAAAAGATTTACGTTAACTGAAAAGACAATCCATAGAATGGGGAAACATTTGGAACCTGTACTTTGAATAAACAAAGAATTCAACTCATAAAAGAAACACAAATGATCCAATTACAAAGCAGGTAAAGAACCTGAAACAAACCTGACATCTCTAAGATTTTATTTCTAATCACAAGCATCTGCTGGATCCCCTTGATTTACAGGTGTCTGTGAGTAAACTCACAAGGGTGCTTGGAATTAAGCCCAACTCCTCTGGAAGAGCAGTAAGAGCCCTCAGCTGCTGAACAGTCTCCCCAGCCGCAGAGAAGATATACACTAATACGGCCTACAGAGACCCTCCAGCATCATGTCTTTAGGAGGATGCTAACCCTCCCCACACTGAACTACTGCTTCACACGCCTCTGGCTGGCTGCAGGGAAACAAGGTCAGAGTAAGAGGGTACAGGGACAGCGAGGCCTTCCTACACTGCTGTGGCTGCTTGGGAAAATAGTCCAGCCCACTCCCAAACGGCTAAAGAGACACTGTACAGCTGCATGGAGACTGAGACCTATAACCCTAGCACTGGGAAGTGGAAGCAGGAAGATCACAAATCTAAGGCCAGGGTGTTTACATGAAGTACGGTGGTGCACACCTTTAATACCCATACTGGGGAGACAGAAGTGTGGGTATCTCTTGAGTTTAAGGCCAGTCAGGGCAACATAATGAGACCCTGTCTTCCCAGAAACAAAAGACCGAATACTAAGTCAACAGTTCTCCTAGGGGTATAGCCAAGGGAAATGAAACACTGACTTCATTTGTGTTACTAATCGCAGTAACAAAATGCGGCTGGAACAATGAATGGCTCAGAGATTAAGGGCACTAGGACTCTGGGGGAGGAGGCGTTGTTCTCTGTGGGTACCAGACGTGCACAAGGTGCACAGACGTACATCTGGACAAAACACCCACACACATAAAGATAGTTAAAAAGCGAAATTAAGTTCTTGGGGCCGGAGAGATGGATGGCTTAGAGGTTAAGAGCACTTGTGGCTCCTGCAGAGGCTGCCAGATTCCACATGGTGGCTCACAAGCAAGGAAATTCAGGTCCAGGAGATCCAGCACCTTCTGACCTCCACACACCAGGCAGACTCGTGGTGCACTTACATACATGCAGGCGAAGCACTCAGACACATAAAGCACCTAAAGCACTTTTAGAAATCAGTACCTCTAAGTTGCTTTCACAGTGAAAACCCCACAGAGCCCCTGGGTCCAGATAAGAGGAGTCGGAGTAGACCAGTCACTGCCAGTGTCACTCAGTAGGAGCAGAGTTGAGCCCGCCTGGGAGAAGTCCAGGCATGAACTGAGAGAGACTGGCAAAAAGCAAACCATTGGAGACAAAAAGAAACAGAAACAACTAACTCGAAACGTCCTTGGCTTCCTTCTGTCAAGCCAGACCTTTTTAAAAATGCACATAAAAATACCTTTAAAATCTTCAACCCAGGGCTGGGCTCAGAGGGTAAAGCCCTCGTTGTGCAAGACTGAAGACCTGAATTCAAGCCCCAGATCCCACTTGAAGGTGGAAAGAGAAAATGGACTCCAGAAATTGTCCTCTGATCTCTGCATGTGCACTGTGGCACACATGCACCCTACACACACAAATATATTAAAAAATCCTTAACATATATGCCTGTGATCTCAACATCTGAGAGATGAAGGCAGAAGGATCAGGAGTTTAAGGCAACATAGGGTTATGTAGTGAGTTTGAGGCAAGCCTGGGCTACATGAAACCCTGTCTCACACAACCAAAAAATACTGTAACCAAAGTAAAACCAAAGCTTAGGGCATACAAAGGTACATTATACCTATGTATGAGATTGTGAAAGAAAGAACGTTTTAATTGAACACTGGGGGCTGGAGAGATGGCTCAGTGATTAAGAACACTGGCTGCTCTTCCAAAGGACAGGGTTCAATTCCCAGCATCCACACGTCAGCTCATAACTGTCTGCAACTCCAGTTCCAGGGATCTGACAATGTCACACAACCACATACACAGGCAAAATACCAATACCCATTAAAAAAGCAGAAAGAGCAGTGAAGCCAAGCGTGGTGGTGCACACCTTTGATCCCAGCTTAGGAGGCAAATTCTGAGTTTGAGGCCAGCCTGGTCTACATTGTGAGTTCCAGGACATCCAGGGCTACATTGTTGAGATCCTGTCTCAGAAAAAAAAAATTAACAGATTTTCATGGGAAAGGCAAAAAACCAATTTCCCTTAAATTAATGGACCACATTATGTTTTTTTTTTTTTTTATGTGACTCAACTGATTGACACAAGCCAGCTGTGAACAGAATATGATGTTCAAAGTCACTCAGGGGACGTGGCCCATCCACCCTACCTACAGTCTCATTGACTCTGTCTTCACCAGGGTTCAGGAACGAAGTTCATTTCCCTCTGAGAAAGAGCTGCAGTCAGCCAAGGGTGCCAGCACTCTGGAGGCAGAGGCAGGCGGATCTGTGTGAGTTCAAAGCCAGCCTGGTCTACAGAATGAGTTCATAGAGAAACCCTGTTTTGAAAAAAAAAGTGATCTTTTAGTAGAACACAATTTATGCCATAAACAGGAATTTATTCTTCTATCACATAAAACCACAGCACACTAAGTGTTCACAGCTACATTTCCACTCGGGACTTGTGCTAACGAGTTTGTGCATCAGAGACACTCATGGGAAGAGAAAAAGGAAGAGCGCCGCACAAGCATTTCACGTGGTTTGTGGCAACAATCAGTGTTGTGCCCTTTACACCCAGAGATGCTACCCACAACACACTCATTGACACACACTCCCCCCCCCTCACACAGTGTGCAGAGTGACATGGAGCGATTGGTCACGTGAAGCTCTCTGTCCAGGCATGCTAAAGCCCACAGGGTTGCTCTGCCAGACGGGCTCAAAGTGTTGGTGGAGCAGGCCCATGCTAACGACAGGTACATCTGGTAGCTATCATGTCTTCGTACTCTTTGTAAGCAATGGAGCCGTCGGGTTCAATGGTCAACACGCTCAAGGGGCTGTATTTGCCAGGGACACATGAAGGCCTTGGCACGGAGGGGTCCAGCTTCTCATAGATGATATTCTGAACCATGGTGTGCACGGGAGACCCATACCGATGCCTGACCGCCCTGGGACAGTCCCCTTTACAGTACCTGGGGTTGTATCTGTGTGGGGCCACGATCCAGTTGTCCCATTTGAGCTGACTGAAACTCAGCCTGAAGTCATGGAGTTCACACTCATTTTGGGGGAAAAGAAACTGTTTGAAGTATTCGCTGAGATTGAAAGAGGCTGTAAGATGTGGCTTCTTGGCTTCCAAGTGGCTGGTTTTCTGCCCTCGACGGTGCCGGGCAGATCTTTCGACCTCGGCAGCCTTTTCTTGCACAGGCTGGGTGGCCACGCTGCCTTGGCCAGGATGCTGCAAAGGCCTCTGGGAAGAGTGAGGGGAATGCCAGGAGTGATAGGCCTGTGCACTGGTGTCGTTGAGATACAAGATGAGCGAGGGAGGCACGGACAGAGGCATGCTAAACACCCCGTCCTCCGGGGCCTGGTCTTTTGTGCATGTAAAATTGACGGACATATGAATGCTTCTCTCGCTGGAGTCCACCAGAGGCTGGAGGAGGGAGGTCACATCCATCTCGATCCATCTGTGTTTCTTCAAGGTAAATGAGTATGGCACCCGGAGGAGAGCCTTGCCGGAAGACTCGGGCTCCTTTACCACGAGGTCCCCCACACAGGTTGCAGTGGAGGAGGAAGTAGCCGAGTTGTTGAGCGCGTACAGCAAGACTGACTTGAGCAAGTGTTCCATGGCTGTCACCCGATCCAGGTTAAACAGCAGGTCCGCCATCGGCAGGGGTCCTGAGAAGAGAAGCCACCAACCAGTAAGTAGTGCTTGGGGACAAACTGGAGGGAGCAGGAAGTGAGGTGGAAGAATTGGTAGTCAGTCATAAGCAGTTTCCTGTCCTCCTCCTCCCCTACTTCCTTAAGCCTCAAAAACAAAGCAAAGAAGGGGTTTAGAAGGAAATTATAGAGGGTCTGGGTGTGTTACTCAGGGGCGGAGCACTTGCCTGGCATGCACAAGGGCCTGGGGTCATGCCTTGAGTTGGGTAGGGAGGTGAGGTTTTTTTGTGATATGATCACTTTGAAGGATTGGCACCAGCTTGGGATATATTGTGAGACTGCCTCAATCAAACACACACACACACACACACACACATTCTCTCTCTCTCTCTCTCTCTCTCTCTCTCTCTCTCTCTCTCTCTCTCTCTCTCACACACACACACACACACACACACACACCCTCACACACACATTCCCCCCCCCACACACACACAAAAGAGACTGGACCTTGTAGCCCAAACCCATAATCCTGCTCTCTTGGGAGGTAAAGGTCATTCTCAGCTACCTAGCAAATTTGAGGTCAACCTGAACTGGTTCCGAGAGACAAAGGCACCGCCCACACCCACATGGGGTGACTGAAGCCTCAGAAGGTAGAGGCAAGAGGCCCAGGAGGTCAATAGCCCCTTTGACTACTGACTGAGTTCTAGGCGGCCTGCCTGGCCTGTCTGAGAGTGTAGAGCAGTTGAGTGGAGCTCAGAGTTCAGTGAGTCAGGAGGATCGCTGCTCCGTTTGAGAACTTGAGTTTGAACTCTAGGATCTACATGGTGGAGGGAGAGATCCAACTTCGGAAAGCCTTTCTCTGACCTCCAGACATGACCCCACTCCCAATCCACACATGCAAATACATTTTGTCCCCATAAAAGTGAGATCAGCATTCCTGGAGAGGTAAAGCAAGAGACTATCATTACATCCCAGTTCTAGACCCAACAGCTCGCTCCAACACAGGCAGGTGAGAAGAAGGTCTCCCTTTGGTGGCATCCCCACTGAGGATGTAGCCAGGAGACCATCAGAAGCAACACTCACTGGGCCTGGATGAAGCTCGTCAATTGAGAACATCTGACTGCCACGTGAGATTGGAAACAAATGGGGGCGCTAAGACTCCAGCAGGAGGAAGGGGGGCTTTCAACAGACGCCCTGTACAGTCATGATGGTTTTCCTTACACTGTGAACTGGTGGCCGCGGTGTGTGTGTGTGCAGGAGTATGTGTGTGGGGGTTGTTAATGGACACACACTCTGTGGCACACGTATGAAGGTAGACAACTTGGGGACCTGGGAACTGAACTAAGGCTGTCAGGTTGGTGGAAAAAGCCTTCACCCACAATGCCATCGCAAAAGCCCCGGGATTTTCATTGCTGGTTTTTAAAGCTTCCCCGACTCTTTCTTACCAAACTGTTCCCGCTGTTTTTGTTTTTTTAAGACAGGGTTTCTCTGTAGCTTGGGAGCCTGTCCTGAAACTCACCCTGTGGACCAGGCTGGCCTTGAACTCACAGAGGTCCGCCTGTCTCTGCCCCCCCCCCCCAGTGCTGGGATTAAAGGCGTGTGTCACCACCACCCGGCCTGTTCCCATTGTTGACTAACACTTTGAGGTTTGGGGGGGTTTTTTGTTTGTTTTTATTGTTGAGACGGGTCTCATCTGTAGCCCTAGCTGGTCTGGAACTCTTTGGGTAGACCCAGCTGGCTCTGCTCTGAGCTCGGAGATCAGCCTGCCCCTGCCCCCTGAGGGCTAGAATTAAAGTCACGTGTCACTGCGCCCTGCTTGACTTCTGGAGGTCAAACTCTGGGCATCTGGCACTCTCAACATAAACTGTGCTATATCTCAGCCATACAGTTTGTACTGTGCCAGATGGAGACTGAAACTTTCCTCTCACAGGAAACCGAGCGAGAGGGAAACGTCCCATTCATCACGGCCACTACTGGCTCAAAGCGAGGTTTCGGCACAATGCTAGGCCAACCACTTGGCAGAATAGAAAGAGATGCTAGCTATTTTTTTTTTTTTTAGATTTTCTTTTTTTTTTTTTAATTAAAAATTTCCACCTCCTTCCCTGGTCTTTCAAGACATTACTCCTCTAGCCTTGACATACTGAGCTAGTGTGCTGTTACAGGCCTGTGACCCCAGCACTAAGGCAGGTGGGGTCACTGCGAGTTTTGAGGTCAGTCTCAAAAGAGAGGAGGGAGGCAGAGACAGGCGGATCTCTGTGAGTTCGAGACCAGCCTGGTCTACAGAGCTAGTTCCAGGACAGGCTCCAAAGCCACAGAGAAACCCTGTCTTGAAAAACAAAAAAAACAAAAAAAACAAAAAAAAAAAAAAAAAAAAGAGAGAGAGGAGGGAGGGAAGAGGGTGGGAAAGTTCAAACAAAACAAAAATCTATCATACTAAATTTTTTCTTTTTACAGTTTTTTAAAGACAGGGCTTCTTTGTGTAGTCCTGACTATCCTGGAACTTGCTCTGTAGACCAGACTGACATTGAACTCAAAGAGTCTGCCTGCCTCTGCCTCCTGAGTGCTGGATTAAAACTGCCACCACTGCCCAAGCATACTAGTTTCTTAGCTGATGATGGTTTAAGCTAACAACACACACACACACATATATACACACACACATATACACACACCAAGCAAACAGTGGAATCAGCGCTCCTGCCCAGGGATGTAGTAACAGAGGGCTTAGCTATCATGTATGAGTCCCACAACCCTATTTGATCCTTAGCACCACCACACCAAAAAAGAATTCAAGAACTTAAGAAAAAAATTAAAGCTGTGCTGTGGTGGTGCACGCCTTTAGTCCCAGCACTTGAGAGGCAGAGGCAGGCAGATCAAGAGTTCAAGACCAGCCTGATCTACAGAGTGCCTGTCTCAAAAAGGAAAGAACTAATTTGTTTGACTCAGATACTGAGAATAATGCCAAAAGAAAAAAATGTGTGATGCTGTAAACCTGCATGATCCCAGTACTCAAGGGCTGAGGCAGGAGGATGCAGAGTTTGAGTAGAACCTGGGTGACAGGGTAAGATCTTGCCTCAGAACAAACAAATTCAAATCAAAGCCTGGCTTCTCTTAGTAACAGAAACACTGAAGCTCCTGTCTCCTCTCTCCACCCAGTTGAACAATTTGCTCTTACCCACCTGTCACCTGGTTGCCAGGCGCTGGCTCGTGCTTGGTAGAGGGGCTGAAGAGCCGAACAGTGTTGTAGAGGTGACTTCTGCTGGGTTTAGGAACCCCTTCCTTGGTAGCATATGTCTTATAGAGCTTTTTCATGTAGTAGAGCGCTCTGGAGTCAGGTTGCAGCTTAGGGGCCTCCCCTCTCCTATCAGACAGGACCTTAAAGAGGGGAGGCAGGAGACCTGGACTGTCCGTCCCGTCTACAGGCAGCAGCAAGGACCAAGGATCTGCCTCAGACTCCAAAGCTGCATTGGCTCCAGTCTGGGATTCTCCCCTAGAAGCCTGAAAGCTGAGGCTAGTAAGAAAACACAGCCAGGCAAAGCAGCAAAATCCAAACCGGAGTTTGCTGTGAAGTGCCATGGCTTGGGAGAACTAGGAAGGAATGCATCTCCCCACGCCGGTCTTCTTTCTAAAGACTGAGAAAGCCCTGGTGTTGTCCTTAAATAAAATCTAGGTGTGGAGGACCAGCTTCACTTCTGCAATCAGACCTCAAGGATGCCTAGCTGTAGGTCATGTTTCATCACTCTATGGGTCAGCTGTGAGCACATTTTTATACAATTTGCTCTCATTAGGTGAAGATTTGTCTACTTAGCTTTTTTTCCATTTTCCCTGACATTTACTTCAAACCCACCAAGTATTATCACCCTCATGGACTACTCACACAGCTGAGAACCCAAGAGAAACCCGCAGAATTATAAAACAAAATATCTTAGGGCTGGAGACGTAACTGCAGAAGTATTAGGTTTGTTTTTTTTTTCTCTTGATTCACCATCTCCACAGCTCTCACTGCCTTAGTACTAACTGGTTACATATTGCACAGTGAGTTGGGAACACAGGAAGTCACGATGAGTACAGAAATTCCAGAGTGACATTAGGCTGTTCAGCCTGGCCAGGGTCCTTAGTACAAGGCATGGAAATTTGGCATAGGACAACAGTTACTCATAGTGTGCTTTAAAAGAAGACATGGCAGCAGCCGGGGGAGGGGGGCTGCAGGTGTGATGCACACCTTTAATCCCAGCACTCAGAAGGTACAGGCAGGTGGATCTCTATGAGTTCAAGGCCAGCCTGGTCTACAGAGAGGGCTCTAGGAAAGCTAGGGCTACATACTATGGAGACCCCATTTCAAAATAAAAAGAGGCCATTATGGAGCTAGAGAGATGGCTCAGTCCTTAAAGAGCACTGACTGTTTTTCCAGAGGACCTGGGTTCAAATCCCAGTCACCCACATGGTAGCTCACAACTTTCTGTAACTCCAAGATCAGACATCTTTACACAGATTGCACGCAGGCAAAACAGCAAGGCGCATAAAATAATAAAAATAAATTATTTTTAAAAAGAGGACATCACCTTTAATCTTGACCAATTTAAAAATACAACATCCTGGGACTGGAAAGATTGCTCAGCAGTTAAGGGCAGTGGTTACTCTTCCAGAACAAATTATGTGGCTCATGACCACCTGTGACTCCATTTCTGGCACCCTTAGGAATATAAAACACCAACTATAAAATGAAAATAACATTTTTTTTTTAAAAAAAACCCACAATATCTATCTGGACGGCAAGATGGCTCTGAGAATAAAAGCACTTGCCACCAAGCCCAATGACCAAAATTCAGTCCTACAAACGTGCATCCAGTCTCTAAGATCCGCATGGCAGAAGGGGAGAGGAGACTCCTACAGGTTCCTCTGACCTGTACTCAATGTGCCCCTGCCCTTTGCACACAGAATACATATTTTATCTAAAGGAAGCAACTACAGAAAGCTTTTATTTGCTCAAAGGAATCAGTGCCTTTTGATGCAGAACAAAAACCAAAAATATCCCAACTACTGTCAATACTTTCAAAACCAGCACATCAAACTTGATTTTCATTAGAATGCCATTTTTCCACACTAGTAATTAAAAATGTAAGACCCAGATTGTACGTGTGTGTGTGCAATTATTGCGCCTCATCTTCTGAACAAGAATGTCACGTTAGCCTCTCGTTAAAGGCGATGACAATCTGAGGACACTTCATGTCAGTCTTCTCCTTTGCCAGCACCAAGTCCGCCTCATCTGAGGCCTCTGTTTCGTGAGAAACACTGGTTCTCCACTGCTGTCTGTGGCACCGGTTATTCATTCAAGATCAAGAGCCCTGGCAAAGTCCCTGGGTTTGTCGGCAGCAGCTCTTTCCTTCTTCGATCTGCTCTTATCAGATTCACTGTCAGACAAGATTTCCTTTCTGTACCATCTTTTTCATTACCAGCTTTTTGAAAACTAAGAAATGCTTCAATTAATTCTGGACAATCTAAATTTTCTTCTGGTTCCCAAGTATTCTCAGCGTCTGTGAGCCCTTTCCACTCGAGGAAATGCTCCACCATCCTCCTATTCACTCACTACACGTGGGTCCAGGACTTAGTTTTTCAGGTTCTGCCTCTTCAACTTTTTTTTTTGTTCCGGGTTGTGCTCCTCAGCTAAGTCACAACCAAGGGGCAAAATACATATTTTAAAAGTAATGAAAAGGGCTGGAGAGATGGCTCAGAGGTTAAGAGCACTGCCTGCTCTTCCAAAGGTCCTGAGTTCAATTCCCAGCAACCACATGGTGGCTCACAACCATCTGTAATGGGGTCTGGCGCCCTCTTCTGGCCTGCAGGCATACACACAGACAGAATATTGTATACATAATAAATAAATAAATATTAAAAAAAAAGTAATGAAAAGTACAATATCCTAGTGTCCTTGTTTTGGTCTACAATTCATGTGACCATACTCTAGTCGAAAGGTTTTGAGATATATGCAAGTAGTACATACTTAAACATATTTAATATGTACTATTATATGTAGGTCTTATTTATTTTTTAACAAGCCACCCAGATGGCAGAATTCACGACAGTATTTTAGTCCTTGACTAAAGTATTTGTGTTCCTGCCTTGGAGCTGAGACCAGGCTAGATAGTGTTTTAGGAGAACCAGGGGCAAGTGCACCACCATGCAAGGAGGGGTTACCTAGGGCCCCTCGGAAGGTGATCATCTTCTGGATGAAAGTGAACCCATACTCATAACACAAGATTAAAAAGTCAGTGTGCGCAGCACCTGATCAATAAAGCCAAACCCTTGCAAAACTGAAGCTCAGGGTTTGCCAAGCCGCCGCCCCAGTTTGATCGCCAGATTATAATTGGCCAGTCATCCCATTTACAGGCATTGGGACAAACAGAAAGGTCCGTGAGTCCCACAGGACAGTACTAGTTAGGAGAATGCACTTTAGGGAAAACACAATAGTTCCATAGAGGAAAGAGCCGGGGCTCGATGACACACCCTGCCCGAACTGAAGCCCCTCTATAGCTCCCATGACCACGATCCGCGTCTGACAACTGGCTGACGGAGAGCTGCTGATTTGTAACTGAACTGGGAGAAACGTTTGTGTCACATCCTCGACAAGTCTACCGGCTGCCAGTGGTTTCCTAGGCAGCGTTTACCGTAGCCCTAGACCCAGTGTCCCTAACTTTGTGCTGCAGTCATGAGGGTCTGTTTACAGTCCACCCCCTTTTGGTTACGGGGATCCCATGCAACTGGCACTCCTCCGCTAAGGGACAGCCAGGAGGACAAAGTCCCCTTTTTCCCTCTTTGGGCAGCTTCCAGCCCTGGTATCTATCCAACGAAATCCCTGGCACTAAGCAGTAAGAACCAGGTCTTGGAACGCCCACACGCCACAAGCCCCGTCCATTGGCACAAACCACGCTCTATGCACCTAAAGGCCCCGCCCCATTCACGGCGGGAGCCTCACGGACGTTCACCTAAACTCTCTCCATTGCTAAAATCCGGGCCAGGCACTCACCAAGCCCCCCAATATCTTTCCAAGCTCCGCCCACATACTAACATAAGCCCGCCCACACGTCCACTACGCTCCGGTAAGGCACACGTGCTCCGCTAAGCACCACCCAGCCTCTTGAAGAACCGGTTCTGCACCTGTAAGCCCCGCTCCCTCCCTCTTGGCCCCGGGCAACTCCCGCCCACGCGCAAGGCCACTCCCAGGTCCGCGGTCCAGGCCATTTTCTCTTTAGGGCTGGTCGTCGTCTCCCCCTGGAGACAGACGGAAAATGGTAGTGCCCGGAAATGACATTAAGATTTCCAGGCTCGACTTCCGCCCCTTCCGGAAGTGACATTGAAGCCGGGCTCAGCGTGGTAGAGGTAGAGGTGACCTGGTGGCGAGGGTCGGTACGGGGCGGTGGGAGTTCCTTGCGGGCCTAAGCCACGCTTGTGTCCTCCGTCCTTAGGGCCGCCGCCACCATGGGCCGCGAGTTCGGGAATCTGACGCGGATGCGTCACGTGATCTCCTACAGCTTGTCACCCTTTGAGCAGCGCGCCTTCCCAAACTTCTTCAGCAAAGGCATCCCCAACGTGCTGCGCCGCACTCGCGAGCGCATCCTGCGCGTGGCGCCGCGTGAGTGCCGGGCGGGCGGGGGAGGGCGCACCTTTCTTTCCCACATCCCCGACCAGACGTGGAGTTGTCACCATATCGGAGTGACTGGCCTAAGGTCACTCGGATGATTCCCGCGTCCCCCTCTGAGGTCATCGCTGTCCGCTATCAGTGCTGCAGTGCTGCAGTGCTGATGCAATGTCTTGTGTTAGCGATGCGCCGATTTGCTGACGGTGTCATGGCATTGCGAATATGCCAGGAACCCGTGGAAGGTACACTTGAATTTGATGGAGAGGTTGAGGTCCGCCCGATCTTGGTGTGGAACCCAGGCTGGCCTCACACTTGTGATTTTACTGCCTTGTCCTCGGGACTGCTGGCTGGGATTATAGGCATTTGCCAGCACAGCAACTTGAAATGTGCTTTTAAGACAGTGAAGTTTGATTATTTATTTATTTATTTATTTTGGTTTTTCGAGACAGGGTTTCTCTGAGGCTTTGGAGCCTGTCCTGGAACTAGTTTTGTAGACCAGGTTGGTCTCGAACTCACAGAGATCCGCCTGCCTCTGCTTCCTGAGTGCTGGGATTAAAGGCGTGCCCCACCATCGCCCGGTCAGTGACGTTTATGTTAGGTAAATTTCATCTTTAGTTATCTCATGAAATTTTTCATTTGGTGTTAAGAAGAGAGACTAGGAAGGTCAAAGCTAAATCTTCTGGTCATTATTTTGGTTGCTTATAAAATGGGTGTGTAATTGTAACCGTTTTTTAACCTCTTATTAAAAGTAGTTTCTGGTCATGATAATGCCTGCATTTAATCCCTGCGTTCCAGCATTTCTGAGGGCATAAGTTTCATTTTTTCATTCCCGAGGCAGAGGAAGGTGGATCTACGTAGTTTGAAGCCAGCCTGGTCTACATAGGGAGTTCAGGTCCCCAAGGGCCATATAGTAAGAGCCTGTCTCAAAAACATAGAGCTGGAGATGGCTCAGCACTTAAAATCACTTGCTGCTCTTTCAGAGAATCTGGTTCCGTTCCCACCACCCATATCGTAATTCACAAGCACCTGTGTGTGACTCCAAAGGGAACTGGCACTCTCTTATTGCCTCAGTCACGGGGCCTGAGTCTGCCACACAAACATACATACAGGTGAAACACTTATAAAATATAAAAAGCAAAGGCTGGGCATTCATGCATTCAGGAGGCAGAGGCAGGCAGGTCTCTGAATTGCAGACCAGTCTGGTCTACATAGTTAATTTCAGGACAGTTAGCCAAACAGAGACCTTGTCTCAAAAAAAAAAAAAAAAAGCCAAAGACACCTTTAATCCCAGCACTTGGGAGGCAGAGACAGGTGGATCTCCGAGTTTAAGGATAACCAGGGCTACGCAGAAAGACCCCGTCTCCAAAAACGGAACGAGGTCAAAGCTAGGGACAACAGAAGAGCAGGCAGAATGGTAGAAGTCAAAACTGAGGACCGAGGGCAGGACATGGCGCACGACAGAGGCCAGCCTGGTTCCCACAGCCCAGCTCCACCCCACCCCAGAGGAGCTGAGGTTCTGTGCTCTCTGCTCACAGCTTTTCTCTCTCGACTGTTGCAGCGTTTGTGGCATTTTATCTGATCTACACCTGGGGGAACCAGGAGTTTGAGCGGTCCCGGAGGAAAGACCCAGCCATGTACGAAAATGACAAGTGAGCAGCACGCGTCTAGATGACAGTTTCCTGCCCGAAAGCCCCTTCTCCGCGAGAGGAGTCTATGTTACGTGTCCTGAAGATACAATAAATTACTTACGTTACGGGCTTTCCTGTTGTGACTTTGCTCATTTGAGACAGGGTCTCACTACGTGTACCTGACTGGCCTGGACGAACTAACAAGTCCACCTGCCTCTGCCTCTGCCTCTGCTATGGTGTTGAACATCATGCCTGGACCAAGTTTGTTTTTTGAGACAAGGTTTCTCTGTGTAACAGTCCTGGCTGTCCTGGAACTTGCTTTGTAGACCAGGCTGGCTTCGAACTCACTGAGATCCGCCCGCCTCTGCCTCCCAAGTGCTGGGATTAAAGGCGTGCGCCACCACCTCCACCCCAACCCTCATGATTGTTTTCTTTTACAAGCAGAGTCCTTAGTGTGACTGGGTATATTCAAGTCATGCTGACCCCTTTCCCGGCACAAGTCCTGAAAGGTGGCTGGGGGTAGGTTTGAGTGGCACGGGTTCGGGAATGCCAGCTCTTGACCCAGCTCTGCTCCCATTATAACTATAAAGTCTAGTAATGACACTGTAATTAGGATGTCAGGTGTTCTTCCTAGCCACATAAAGGAACTTTTAACTCCCCGCAGCCTTTGAAGTAAGCGTTATAATCTCTGCAGATGAGGAATCACAGTTTAAGTACTTTGCCCAGAAGCACATGACAGTGAGTTGGTAGAGCCAGGTACCAGTGTGGGCTCTTCAAACCATGCCGTCCGTGCTGCTTTGCTCCCCAGGGAAGGCCTTAGCGTGAGGGGGTTCATCTGTGAAAGGAGACCATGGTGCCATCCCTTGGCTGCTACAGCCCATTCCAGTCAGAACCATGGTTGGCTTTGTGTCACAGAGCCAATTCAACAGTGGCTGTTAGCTGTATGTGGACCACAAGGTCTGAAAAGACTCATCCTTTTATGGGAAAGGTACGCCACCTGCCCTACAAGCTTTGGATGCTCTTGTTCTCTCTTTGCCTGGAGATGATAGGGCGGGCATGCTTGGCCATCCTGAGCTTCTGGCCTTGTCAGTTGGCTAAGGACATTGCTGCAGACTGTAGCAGCTCACAGTGTAATGTTTTGCCTGATGATTGCTAGCTCGTGCCAAAAGTCCTCAAAAGAGAACAAATGACAAGCTGGATTGTGGTGGTACACACCTTTAATCCCAGCACTTGGGAGGCAGAGGCGGGCGGATCCCTGAGTTTGAGGCCAGCCTGGTCTACAGAGCGAGTTCCAGGATAGGCTCCAAAGCTACACAGAGGAACTCTGTTTTGAAAAACCAAAATAAGTAAATACATAGATAAACTAAAAAGAAAGACTTCCAACAACAGAAACCTGTAGGTTGCATGGATGTGAGGCAGGATGTAGCATGACTGTGTCTGTGTCTTATACCCATGCCCTGTGTCAGTCGTTCTCAGCCTTCCCAATGCTGCAACTCCTGCAGCCCTTTAATAGGTCCTCGTGTCGTGAGTGCTGAGGGGACCCTGCTGTCAGTGCTTTGATGTTGAGGGGTTCTGTATATGGCTAAAATCGTCCCTTATAGCTGAACTCTGTCTCTCACAGTTTTCCTCTTTGAGCTTAGGGACGGGACAGAGGGCTCAGCCACCTGAAGGGTGCCCAGACAGTGACTCTGACCCTACATGACCTGGAGTCTCTTTAGGGACTTGTTCTGTTTGTAGAGATTCACAAAGGATAATGTGAAACGCCCCGCCCCATTCACATACTAAGCTGCATGCGTGCGTGCGTGTGTGCATGCATGCGTCCGAGCGTGTAAGCAGGAGGTTGATGCCAGACATCTTCTGTCACTCTCCACTGTATATTTTGAGACAAGGCATTGAACCTCAAAGATTCAAGCCAGCTGAGCTGGCCACCGAGCCCCAAGGGTCCCCGCTCCATCTCCCAATGCGAGGATGGCAGATCTGCTGCCACACCTGCTTTGTTATGTGGTGCTGGTGATCTGAACTTAGGTCTTCCTGTTTGTGTGGCAAGTACTTTAGCAACTGAGCTATCTCCCTGGCTCCTGGAGTCAAGCCTTTTAAGGACAGAGATATCACTATGGTCCCATGTCTTAGATTCCCACAGCTCTTTTGTTGGCTGTGACGCAACCAGTCCCTCCATTTAACTCTTTTTGGAAAAGCCCAGGCTTCTGCTCTCACCTGGCTCTCCCCTGAGAGCTGCAATCCGGGAAAGAGAGCACTCTTCATTCTGCTGGTATTGTGTTCAGGACATAGGCCCAGACAGTCAAAAAATAAATGCACTTTGACCCTTTGTTGAAATTTTACCTGGAAACCTTTTTTTGCATTCCTACGGCTTTCATCTTTTACTAGGCACCCTCTGTTCAGGGACAACACAAAAGTGTTCCATTACCACCAAATCTCAATGATCCCCTGTCCACCCTGAAGACATTCAGACAGCTCCTCGAGTTCTCTTAACCTTTCTCCTGAATATCCCTGGGGTTGTGCCTGGAGCGAGCAGACTCTCACTAGAAAACTGTCTGTCTTTCTCTTCTTGTAAATTAACCATTTGGACCCCAAAAGTGCTCATGAGGTCTGAGGCCTCTCATCTCACTGTCAGCAAAAGACTAAAGCTGAAGAGAGGAAGGGTTGGCCTGTGGTCAGACACCCTGCTCCTGCCTCCTGGTCTGTAAGAGTTCTTGCCCTACAGCTGAAATTAGGGCAGCTGAGGCCTGTGAACTGAAGGAAGGAGCTCGTAGCTCTTCGTTCATTTAATAACATGTGACAGGAGAGGGAGAACAGACAGATTGTTCAACTTTCAGGCACAGTGTCGGTTTTCACAGAAAAGGCTGGGATAACTGGCGTCGGTTCTGCTGAGGGCCTAGGTGCTGTTTCACCTCTCAGAGTTTGAGAGGTGCTTTGTGTTTTTTTCTGTAGTACTAGGGATTGAATCCAGAGCCGCGCACATGCTGGACACACACCCTGACCACTGGGCTACTCTCACTACAACTCCAGCTTCCACAATACCCTTTAAATCCAGCTGCAGGTTGTGTTCACGTGCTTAGTAAGTTGCCCCTAACAAGTCAACGCATTTCCCTTGACTGGGCTATGATGAGCTTTAGAAACTACACGAAAGGCTGCCTTGATTTTGCTGAGGGAAAAGGCAGGCAGAAATGCCATCTTTTGGATGAATGGCATGTCACTGAGTGCTGGTGAAGGAGGGACTGGCACTGAGCCCACAGACCCAGCGGGTTCTAGGACACATGTTGTCCAGCCCTGCTTATCTAATCATCTGTGCTTACTCAATGTTCACTGGGTCACCAGTTCCCAATGGGTCTCCTACTTGAGGTCATCCAGTATATAACCTCCTGGGGCAGAAGGGGAGCAGCTGAACTGGTAGGTTAGAATTTACTGGTTGGTTGTATTTGGTAAGTGGGTATAGTCAGCAACTCTTATGCTGGGGAATTCCCCATGAGACTTCCATTCTCTACAGAACCAGGGAAGACAGATTCCCCCCCCCCATCCCCAGCGTGAGGCCCATCACACTTCTCCCTTGGCCAAGAGCTACATTTGCTTGTCTTGGCGTTGGTGACCACGCTGCTGCCCGCAGCACAGCAGCAGCTCCTCCAGTTTTGCTTGGGCAAAGAAACAAACAGGCTCTTGTCCAAATGTCCAATCATGAAGATGAGAAGAGCCTTGTGAAGGGTTTATCAGTAAGACATCAGAACAGGGAGAGAGAATTCGCCCTGTAATTTGTGTGTGTGTGTGTGTGTGTGTGTGTGTGGTGTTTCTTGTGGTCATAGGGAGATCTAAGCTCCTATGCATGTCCTTACTTTATAAATTCAACTTCGCACCTCCCCAAAATTTTTTTTTTGAGACAGGGTTTCTCTGTAGCTTTTGGAAGCTGTCCTGGAACTAACTCTGTAGACCAGGCTGGCCTCGAACTCACAGAGATCCACCTGCCTCTGCATCCTGAGTGCAAGGATTAAAGGCGTGCGCCACCACCGACTGGCTCCCCCCAAACTTATTAAAACACTGATGTTTGACCTGAGTGTGGTGGTCCACTTCCTAGAACAAGACAGGACTGTGAAACTGGGCCAGCCTGGGCTATGGATGTGAGACGTTCTCAAAATCAAAGGTGTTATCACGTAGTACCCATAAAATTCAGTACAGTTAAGTGCTGATTTAGGGACCTACAGGGATCTCTATGAAAGCCAACGAATGTTTGGGCTTCAGACACAGGCTAACATCTGCCGCCCCGAGGTTGCCAGAAGATATGCTCAGCTGAAGCCCCAGGTAACTGCCGAAGACAAAGCCCAGGATTCATTTGGTGTTGTCGGCACACGATGCAGCATTAAGAGTTTCTGCTACCTCCTCCCTCGTGTTCTTAAAAACAAAAAGCTATTCATCCATCTCTCTGTGGCTCGAGCGGCAGTAGTCGTTTGTCCCCTGAAGGGAAGGCAGAGTTTGGGTTTTTCACAGCCAGGTCTTCACTGACAGAATGACAGCCCGTTGGTGAGTGGGGGACTGGGACACTGTAGAATGTCGGCTTAAGTATCCTCCCACAGGGGGAACAGAGGCCACATCCAATTGCCTGTACTCAGCAGGTCAGTGTTTTTTTGCCTAGAAAAGCTCAGGGGTCAACATTACTTCATAGACTTCATTAGAATTCTATTTTGATTATAATCAACTCACAGTGATATTTTAGGACTTTTTCTTGGTTCTGGGAATTGAAGCCACGACATCATATGTGCCTTCACTGTTAAACTCCCAGCCTATTTTAGAAGTGTGGCCAGGCTCCTGGTCTCCCTTCTGGATTCACATGGCTTTCAGAGGGAAGGTGGGGACAATGCTGACTTCTGATAAGATGGGTGTAAGGGTCCAGACCAGCAACATCATCAAAGTCCAGAAGAGGGATCACTAAGTACAATGTGCCTCAAGTGGAGCCTGTGATTACATTCTTTAGGTACATATTAACCTATTAAATCGATCCTGATTACAAACAAACTTTGCCCCTACCTCGCCTGGCAACCATGAGAAAGGCAGATAGATGTCAGCCTATAAAAGGAAACAAGAACTGTCCCCTGGCCTTCAGGCTCCAACATCTTCCTTTTGCCAAGATGCTACAGCTCAAACTCTTTGCAGTGCTCATGACTTGCCTGCTGTTGGTGAGCCAGGTAAGAAAGAATACCTGTGTATGCTGGATATAGTAGCGGCTGCGGAATTCTAAGTCAGACTCAGCCCTGAGAAATGCTGTTAAACCTCCTGCAACCTGGGTGTTTGGCAGAGGGTGGATGCTTGCCAACCTGAAGTGGATATGCCTCTGCTCTATAGGTCAATGGCTCCCCAGTACCAGAACTGAGTTCAGCAAAGAGATCCCGGAGAATGACCCCATTTTGGAGAGGGGTTTCCCTCAGGCCCATTGGTGCTTCATGTCGGGATGATTCGGAGTGTATCACAAGACTATGCAGGTATTTGACAAGCCTGGGTGCAGGGTGGGCCAGAGACCTCTGGGAATCTGGGAGAGGTGAGATTCAAGGGTAAAGCTGAGACCAGGGGTAGGGTGAGCATAGAGGTGGAATTGCAAGTTCCATGGAGGAGAGTTCCTTAACAGCCAAGAACCATTCAGATCCCTAACACTGGGCAGATGAAACAGGGGAAAGCGGGAGCAGCAGAGGTGATCTACATCCAAACGTGAACACTTCTTTTCTTTCCCCGCTAGAAAAAGACGCTGTTCTCTAAGTGTGGCCCAGGAGTGATGTCCATACCAGGGGAAAAGTCAGCTCCAACAGTGCTCCGTTATATGGAATATTGGTTAACTGCATTTAAGTGAAGCAACCTTGTGTTTTTAATATTTAAAGACAGATACTTGCTTTAAACTGGTCTCCATTTCTTCTTAGAATGTTATTGATACATAGACGTTGTACATAGACGTAACTAAGTTTGTCAGAGTTTATTTTTCTACAAATTCTATTAAATGTCTTAAATCCAAATTCTGGCAGTCTGGAATTGACACTTGACCCACTTCACACATTATAGGAAAGAGCACTCACTATCTAACGAGGGGAGCTGCTCCACCTTGGAGGTGTGGAGAACACCCACTCTTCAACGAATCTTACACCAGGTTTGACAGAGGCAATGCTCAACAACTGTCAGTCTGTGCGGAGTAGACCATGGCTCTTTGCTCTGGAAACAACTCTTTAGGCTGGCATGTGCCACCTGAGGCCTTTAAGACTTTGTCTATAACTTTATGAACATAAAACAGAAAAGCCTAACTTAACAAAACAATAAGCTGGGTGTAATGCAAATTCTAATTGTTCTTAATAACAGAAACTCGGAGTCAGATATTGGGGTAAATGCTGAAAAGAACAGAGAAGTAAAGGAGCCAGTCACTACAGAGACTTTTTAACCTCTACCATATCCTCAGTCCAAAGGGAGCAAGATCCTGTCTCCATGAATTCTCAGACTGAATGCTTTGAGCTCCTGTCTCCTTCCACCTTATATTCCCCTCTTTTCCCAGCCATATCCCTTCCTGTCTCTGTTTCTCTAGTGCTGGACTTAAAAGTATGTGACTCTCAAATACTAGGATTAAAGGTGTGAGAGCCACACTTCCTGGCTCCGATATTCTCTCTCTCTCTCTCTCTCTCTCTCTCTCTCTCTCTCTCTCTCTCTCTCTCTGTTTTGTTTTTTTGAGACAAGCCTTCTCTGTGTAACAGCTATCCTGGAACTCTCTCTGTAGACCAGGATGCCCTCGAACTCCCAGAGATCTGCCTGCTTCTGCCTCCCTGTTGTTGGGATTAAAGGCGTGCGCCACCACTCCCCGGTTGGCTCTGATTGTCTTTTAAACTGGATTAATTCTGCTTAGGCCAGGGTGGCTTTGAACTCACAGAGATCCAGTCGGTCTCTGCCTCCCAAGTGCTGGGATTAAAGGTGTACGCCACCACCGCCTGGCCTCTATGGCTAACTAATGGCTAGTTCCCCATTCTGATCATCAGGCAAGCTTTATTTGTTAAAGCACAAACAAAAGATCACCGCAGCTGGGAATGGTGGAACACACCTTTAATCCCAGTACAGGGAGGTGGAGGCAGAGGCAGGCAGATCTCTGCTGATTCAAGGCTAGCCAGGTCTATATCACGAGTTCCAGGCTTGCCAGGCTACAAAGTGAGACCCTGTCTCAGAAAAACAAAAACAAAATTCAACAAATAAATAGTAAAAATAAATAACGAATGAAACAGTAATAGTCTATGCCTCAAGAGCATAAAAAAGGGGTTGAAGATTTCCATTGGTGCAGGACAATTGATATCCATGGATAAGGACCTATGGCCATGAGTACAAAATTTCTGTACCCAGAAAATGAGACCTATGCTGGTGGGATGAGACCATTACAGAGTAAGACTGGACTCTAAGATACAAAAGAGCAACTCTAGGAGGAAATCACAGTAGGAGCTGAAGAAGTGAGAGCACATGCATATAAACATTATACAGAAAAGCTATCTGATATTTATTAAACTTAGTTTCTCCAGCTATGGTTTGGCATTATACAAAGCATCGTAATGACACAGTAGAGTTAAAAAGAGTTTTACAAATTGAAATGTGATACCCTTGTCTCCAAATATTTTAATTGCCATAAATTTGTTTAAAAATACACATTAAACGCATGTTTGACACTCTAAACTTTCTATAATCTCAATACCACAAAATACTTATAATATACTATACAGATGTGGAAAATCTAGTTAGTATATAATACTTTGCTCACCATTAACAGCTTATTATGTGAAATGCACATACTGACTTAGAAATCCTAGCTTTTGAGCCCCAAAGTACCTCTGAAATTTAATGTATTGCAACAAATAAAAATCACAGTATATAATTGAAATTTTGGTTGAAAGTGTCAGATGCCTAGATATTTTGGATAAAAGAAACGTAAAACAAAGATTGGATCATGTACAAGATGAAGCCTCCTATCAGCAACAGTGCCTTTCTGCAGAGGCAATAGGCCTGTACTTTATCAATCGTGTTACTTCCCCTCCAAAACCCTCCCCAAATAGCAAACCATTATTTACCAAATGATTTTAATTTCAAATAAAAAGATCTTCAATAAATATATAAGCATTTCCATCCTCCATATATAAAACTTCTCAAAATCATTCAAAATGGAGGCTAGGTAGAAATTTCCCTAAGTGTGCTTACCAACTGGGCATCTGGCCCTCAAGTGTGGCCTTTGCAGGCCCTGCCAAGTGAGCCAGCGCTGTTGGTGAGCCCCACCCCATCCCAGTACTGTTGAATGCTCATGTCAGTGATGTGCAGGTGTGTGCATAATGGGGACACCTCTGAGACAACAACAAGCTCAACAATACAGAAGCCATGGCATTGGTTTGAAAGGTAGCACTTCCAAACTGATGTCTTCCAGAGAGGTACAGAACAGGCAGAAACCCAGTGGCTAAAAGCTGAGAAGGAAGCTAACACAGAAGCAGCAAGGTCAAAGCCAAGTATTACAAGGATTTCTGGGTGGGAGCTTGTCCAAGCTCTTCTGAGAGCTTTCTCTGGGTTTAAGGATGATGAGTTCTGCTTAGCTGAGCAACGGCAGCAAGGAGAGAGGTGCATGCGGACAATCCTGAAAATCAACTTCTTAAAAATGAGCTATTTAAGCTGAAAGAAATCTCTAACTTTGTTGAGACTTCACCCAAACACCTTGTTCTAAATTCCATCTACAAAACAGGTGTAGCTTCTGTTTCCATCCCCTGTTCAGGAGACAACAAGTTCTTTTTAATTAACATGTGAACAGGAGTTCCGCAGACCAACATCCTCTTTCTCAGTTTCCCTAGTGCATGCTAGTCTCAACTGACAATCTGAGTGCTAGAATTCAAGCATGCACCACCACACCTTGTTCACCAAATGACTTTTATTTATTTCCTGGAGAGTGGGTCTCAGTAGCTCAGGCTCACTACCCAGCAAAGGCTGACCTTTGCATCAGGGTATGCACCAGCACTCCTGGCCTTCTCTAACCTTAAGGACTTTTGTTACTTGCTGGCTTGATTTCAGGGTCTGAAAGTCAAAGCTCGATGCCTCCACTCACAAGTATGTGAAAGGTACATTCACCAGTGTGACAACTGGGCCTTCTCAGTGCATCTTCCCAGTCATTCACTACTTTTTCTGCTGATTTTACTCACAGCAACACTAGGTGTGAAATACTACTGGAAAAAGTCTGCCTCTCCAACTGAGATGTGAAGGTGGATGGGATCTGTGTTCCACATCCTAAGGGAACATGAGATACAGGAGTCTATGGACTTGAGCAAAGTGCTCTGGCTCCCCAAGTCACTTAGGTTTAGTCTGACTATCACCACCCAGCCTAAAACAGGCATCCTCAGTAGATGTCCTTGGGACCCAGACACCTATAGACTCCTATAAACCAAAATATACAATGAAGCCATTTTGTTCAATTAGCTATTGGAAAATTAAAATCTTTCCCACCCTGTAAGAGCCCTATTACACTACAGAAGGGCTCAAATATATTTTAAAAGTTAATTTACTACAAATCATAGTAATTAAGCTTTAACAATCTAAAGGAATACACATTGCACCCTTGAATGTTAATATTCAAGGTGCCAAGAACAAAGTGTCTTAGATCAATTTAATAAATAATGTGGAAATAGTTGCACTAAGCTAAAATACTAAACACACACATTTGACAAACTAATTCCATGTTTTCATACATACATACGTACATATATATAAAGTGTGTATGTGTACATAATTTTAAGATCCAAAGTTGCATACCCTCAGACCTGGAAGAGTGCACAGCATCCCCCTTCTCAACTGAGCTAGGCATCATCTAATGGAGCTATTTAACTGGCTGCACTACAAACTCCTCTGAGCACTGACCTCAGGCAGTGCTTGTACTTCTGACAAGAACCTTTGTAGGCCCTGGCTACACAATGCAAGCTCATTCATTAAACATCAATGTACCAAAGTTTCAGCGGTTAAATACAAATGATGCTGCCTAATCTAGCTGATTAAATCTTTAATTAAAAAAAAAACAAAGAACAATTTAAATTTAAAAACAAAACAACAACAAAAACAACAACAGCTACTCTAAAGCCACAAGTGTGTCATTCAAAGTGCAGCCCAGATGCCTATAAATCCCTAGTGCAAGAGCTTCCCAGAAAAACAGGCAAGTGTGGGTGCGTGCACACATTACTCTTGAATTGTTTTAATATTGGAGAATTAAATCAGTAGAGATCAATCTTCTTCCTTCAGCAGCAATATTTGTGAATATATTTGAAAGCTCACTGATAAAGTGACTCCAAAACTTCTTGCCCAGAAAAAGGTGTTACTGAGCAAGGAAAGGGCTGGGTGCTCTCCAGCCAGCATGGGGCATGGGCGAGGCTGTGTAATCTTGAATGCCTGGAGGGGAGTGCTCCCCACAGCCCAGTCTCTCCCAGGCAGAATGACTGTGACAGTTCCCACACTGCAATCATGTGAGATGCCTGTCCAGAGTCTAATGGTGCACGCTGCTGCCTCCTGGAATAGGAGTGTGATCTTAGAGCAGTGAACTGAATATTAAAGATAGTTGCTATTTCTAGTACTAACTATACATTGAATACAAGTTTCAGACTAAGTTTTAAATGGCTAAAAACCACTGAGGGCACCTACTGAGAAGGGAGGAATGGTCACTTGTAAAGGAGTCAAGGTATGTGCTGGACATGACTGACACAGAGCGTCTGAAAAAAGACACAGAGAAGAGAGTGTATGCTCACACACTATGACATCAAAAGTTCAATTACTCAGGATCGGAGTTTCTACCTGGTGGGGAAAATCCTCCACAATGAAAGGCTTAACAATTTCATTCTCCAAGAACTGACAGTTTTAAAGAGAAAATTTCTTAAAGCAGCACCATGAAACATGTAGGAAACTCTGCTTTAACACATCAGTGTCACTCCAGAATGTGTTGGCCACCTTGAGGACATACAGACCAGAGCTGGAAAGCAGAGGTCAGCACTGCAGCTGCTAAAGTCTAAAAGCCCAAAGGGCACTTGTTCCACTTCTAAGACCTCCCTGAAGTTAAGGAGCCAGAGTGAGAGAGAAGAGGCAAGGACAGGACACACAACTGTTAGACCATGTAAGTTACTAGCACAAAAGAGGAGACAATGGCCTCTGAAGAAAAAGTATTCCTTAAACACACTACAATTAAATTAGAAAGGTATCAGAGGCAATTTCTCCAAGGGAAAAATTTTATATTCAGCGTAAGCTATAGATATCAACCCTCAATGGTATGTAAAAATAATGAGGTACAAAGCAATTAAGCTCTGTGAATATGAGACTGCAGGACAAAGTCCACTATCTTTAGAAACAGGTGGTGAGAGAGACTAGAAGAGAGGACTCACAACACCGCTGGATGTGAAGATATTCTCTCTCTCTTCCCCTTTCCCATTTCAAGTCTGAATAATCATCTACTAATAACAGGGATTTTTTTCCTCCCCAATTGGATGGATTTTTGGAATGAGAAGGAAAAGCCATTTTCTGAAGCAGCATTATACCCAATTGATTATACTAAGTCAGGTACCAAAGCACTAGCTTTTCTGAAGGGATCTATCTTAATGTGACTCTAAAGGAAGATTTAAAATCAAAGAGAATTTAAAATTATTATTGTAGAGGACCAACCATGCATGGCTAATCTGGTCCCAGCATAAAACTTTATCTGTAAACAATCTGTAGAGTTATCATTTAAAGTTAAGATTTAAGGCACACCAGACATGACGGGGGCACTAAAAAGAAGGAAGAGAGACATTCCTCATCCTTCACTGCTATACGCACCTTGTTGGGAACAGTAGTTTGATAAGGAATTGTTACAGAGCTGGCTTCCTAAGCACTACCCCTATTATTTTCCCCTTTCCAAGAGAGCTCACAACGAGCCAAGTTAGGTACTCTCCTAATATGAATTTTCTTTTTTAATGTGACAAGGTCTCATGTAGCCCAGGCTAGCCCCAAACTCAGTGTCTAGCTTTATGTAGCTTGTCACCGCTACCCAGTGCTGGGATTACAGGCAAGCATAACCATGCCCAGCTGCTACTGTGAGTTTTCTGATCCTGTCAGAAACATACATCATTGATGAGGATCTGTGGAAAGAGAAATTCATCATCTCCACATTAGACATTGTGACACCTCCTTCCAAGCTCCAGTTACTGCATGGTCATATATGAGCATCATAATCTCTCCACCATAGGGGAGATCTGCAGATGTCAACCTTCGAACATTACCAATGAAACAGGCTGCGACCTTCAGAAACTGGATTACTGTCTTCTGCTCATTTTTAGGAGTAACTTACTCTGCTTCAATGAAGTGTCAAATGAGAAAAAAAAAAAGAATACAAGGTTTTAATAAACCCACAGTTTTAGATTGTCCTTTATGAAGCCATTCAGTATAATGTGCTTCTCCCAGCAAGTCTATCTGCTTTTTTTGTAATGCATTAGATGCAATGTAGTCACCTTGTGATTGCTAGTGTTACTAACACACATTCACAGTTTTGAAATAATGCATATCAAACCAGACCCACTTTGCTTTTGCACCCATGTAGAATGCCATCTTCTCATGTTTAAGTGACTTTTCACATGTGGAAGAGCATCCTTAATACCAAGCACAAATCCTACAATAATAAAACTGTAGTAAGACTTGAAATAACATTAGATAATTAGCTATAGAAAGAACATGTCCTGTCATGGACAAGTCAACTCTTACCTTAGAAAATATTAAGTAACACAGCTCCCCAAATATATAAATAAAATGCCTACATTAAATTTATGCTAAATAAATCAACAGAATAAATTTATAGGCAGGAATAACTAAGCTTTAAACAAGCTCCAGTATGGGAACTTGAAAAACTGAAAATAAATAGAATTTTACTTGATTATTTATGAATTGTAACTGGAATTCCAATTACTGAAACCATCTTGCTGATGTACTGCAGGTTTAGAAGCATTTAAATACTTGTCACGTTGGGAATATTGAAAGGGTCAATTGATGGCTTTGGGTTATAAGAAACAAAAATATAAACCAAAAAGGAGAAAACCATTCCTCATTCTTAGTGTCGACTAGGTGGTGTGTTATGGCAGTTTTCCTTTGTGATGTGACACAGTGTTGTGGGAAAATCAGAGGCAACGAGGATATGTTCAGTTCAAGATATCAACTTGGCATCCTGCCGAAGCCAGTGCAGTCCCTGCCGGGTGTAACGAGCCAGATCTGTCATGATGCTTGCATTAAAGATGAGAGGACCCATCACTTTGTCCAGTTCAGCAAAGAATTCTAGAAAATTAAAAACATTCAGTAAGTATCATACATTCTTTTGAATCACTGATTTTTCTGTAAAATAGCATGTCTCCCACATTAAAGGCCTCAAGGATCTCTCAAGTTCCTGATGTTATGCATCAGTTTAAACAGAACACAGTTATGAATTCCATGATGAAGTACCTCTGATGAAGATGATCAACTGCTGCACATTAAGATGGAGTACCAGTGGATTACTCAAAGCACTCTTATGTGTTATGTCTGTGCAGCAGTGGTAGAAAGCAGTCTTTGCAGGAGTCCCACTGTGTAGCTCCATGATAGTCTATAACCAACCTTTCTGCTATAATCAGAAGTTTAAAAATTTACAGGATAGAAATAAAAGTATTCTTCCTAAGTGAACAACAACAACAAAAAAAGGCAGAATAGGGGGCTGGAGAGATGGCTCAGAGGTTAAGAGCATTGCTTGCTCTTCCAAAGGTCCTGAGTTCAATTCCCAGCAACCACATGGTGGCTCACAACCATCTGTAATGGGGTCTGGTGCCCTCTTCTGGCCTGCAGGCATACACACAGACAGAATATTGTATACATAATAAATAAATATTTTAAAAAAGGCAGAATATTGCTGGTAGTTTTTCATCCCCCCCACTGAGACAGGGTTTCACATAGCCCAGGCTAGCCCAAACTCCTTATAACCAATGATAACCCCCAACTCTCAATCCTCCTCGCTGCTTTCTGCTCCCAACTGCTGGGATTATACAGACAAGCACCACCATGCCTGGCACATAATGAATTTTCTATTTCCTAATAATGGACCTAGGCAACGGTCAACATGGATGTCAAAAGTGTAAGTTAAAGTTTAATAGGAAATGTTTCATGCTCATCAGAGTGCCACTACATAAATAATCTATTGACACTAAAAATTTTAAAAAATTAAAAAAAAAGGACATGGTTTTTCTATGTAGTTCAAACTGACTTCCAACTTGGAATCTTTCTGCCTTAGTCTTCCATGCCCTGATCTGATGAAGTTCTTTCTTCTTCCTTCCTTCCTTTCCTTCCTTCCTTCCTTTAATTAGTTTTTTTGAGACAAGATTTCTCTGTTGTACAGCCCTGGATGTCCTGAAACTCTCTTTGGATACCAGGCTGGCTTCAAACTCAGATTTGCAAGCCTTTGCCTCTGAGTGCTGGGATTAAAGGCGTGTACTACTACTGCCTGGCTCAGGTCTAATGAAGGTAATAACAATAAAGGATAAATACTATTCTAATAAGATGTACCACCTAGAACATATTATTTAAATACTGAAGTAATCTAATCAATAAAAGGGAAATAAAAGAGACAACAAATGCAATGGCAGCATGAGGAAGTAAGCAGTCCGCAGAATGAGGCAGTCTAGGATTCAGTTTCTTCTTAACATTGATGGCATGGCCAAAGGAGGAGGAAATGAGTAGAGCGCGCACCTTAAGAGACTAACAAAATGCAGCATTTAGACCCTGCTTGGATCCTATATGAAACAAATCCAACTGCTGTATTTTTTAATGGTTCTCTCTTTTACATTTATCTGTCTGTCTGTGCATGTATCAACAGTGTACTATGTTGAGTTAGAGGAAAACTGTGTGATGTGAGATTTTCCTCTGTATGCGGTGAATATGTTTTATTGCCATTGGTTAATGAAGAAGCTGCTTTAGGCCAATGGCTTAACCGAGTAAAGCAATGCAGGAATTCCAAGCAGATAGAGGAGGAGAGAGTAGGCAGACTCAGAAAGATGCCTTATAGCCACTGGAGAAAGAAGTGTTGGTACGGGTAAACCACAAGCTTTGGGGTAAAATACAAAATAATAAAAATGGGTTAATTTAAGATTAACCTAGCTAGACATACACGGAAGCTATTGGCCAAACAGTATTGCAATTAATATAGTTTCTGTGTCATTATTTTGAGTCTGGGAAGCCGGGAAACAAATGAGCAGCCTCTGACTACAACTGTGGGGAGCCAGTTCTCTCTTTCCACCAAGTGGGTCCTAGGGTTTGAATTCAGGCTTGGTGGCAAGCACTGAACCATCTAGCAGACCCAGCTATTATATTAAGGTATATTGAGACTATAAGGAAAAATTGATGGTAGACAAGGTGCTGCCTACTGAGCTACATTCAACATGCTAGAATAGATGCATCTTTGTCTTACACCAAGAACTACTTCTATTTTAGCTTGTGTAACCAGTTTACACAAGAGTGGTTTGTCTGAGTCCCTTCCCATACATAAGTCCATCTATTCCCTGTCCTTCATACTAGAAACCAAACCCAGGGCCTTATGCATGCTGGGCAAGAAATCTAACAAGGAGCCATGCACAGCCCAAGGGTATTTTTAATCAATGTCATATTTAGTATGTGACTAATCAAAGAAGGTTATTAGCAAACTGATTATGATTCCCTCTAAAACCACAAGATAAAGTAAATGTTCTCCACATAATTAACTAAATCATAAACGTTTCTTTTAACAATTCCATCCTCAAAGTTTATTCAGAGTCCAACAAACCTTTTTGTTCTTTGGAAAGCTGTTCAGCTTGGTCCCAAATTTCAGTGGCATAGAGGAAGTTAGATGTAACCTGGACGTAGCTTGCTGCCATCTGGTGTATCTTCTGTGGAATAGTCACTGAAGAACCACTTGCTGAAGCACTACTGCCCCCAGAAGAGTAACTTCCAGAATTGCCCGGTGACAGCTTTGGAGAGACAGGGGAAGGCATCCCAACAGCTTTGCTACAGAGAGAGAGAGAGAGAGAGAGAGAGAGAGAGAGAGAGAGAGAGAGAGAGAGAGAGAGAGAGAGAGAGAATATGAATGATTATTCACATGCACATAGTGAGCACTACAAAATTAGGACACTACAGGCTGGAAGGTCATACAGGTCTTGAAATCCTGTCTCAAAAGGACAAATTAAAAAGGCTGAGGACATAGCTCAGTAAAAGAGTGCTTGCTTAGTAAGCAAAAGGCCTGGGTTTTACCTCAGCCCTGGGGATGGGTAGACAAAGGAAAATAAGATGGAATGTCAACTCACATCAATACAAGAACTCAACAAATAGACTCAGAAAATGTAAAAAATTGCATGGCATTTGTTTCATTTTGGGGTATAGGTGAGAGGGGAGTCTATGTGGGAATGGAAGATAAATCACACCCATGCCACTATACTCTGGCAATGCCAAGATCTGAGTGAAGTTAAAACCACCGTAACAAGCTGGGTGGTCGTGGCGCACGTCTTTAATCCCAGCACTTGGGAGGCAGAGACAGGTGGATCTCTGTGAGTTCGAGGCCAGCCTGCTCTACAAGAGCTAGTTCCAGGATAGGCTTCAAAGCTACAGTGAAACCCTGTAAAAACAAAGCAAAAACAAAAACACTGTAACAAATCTAAATAACTAAAATCAAACAGAATTGAGGTACCATTAAAAACTCAAGATATCTCAAGATATCTGGGGGCTAGTGAGATGGCTCAGGGGCAAGGGCTGCCACCAAGCCTGACATCTATAGGTGACATGTTTCATTTCAAACTTTTTAAAAATTATGTTCATTATATTTTAAATTACTAAAATAGGAAAGAATAACTTTAAAAAAAACTTCTCTGGAACCATAACTCAGTGGGAGAGCCTGCAAAAAGCCTTTGGTTCAATTGTAAACATAAAAAAATTAAAAATTTTAAGTATTTTACCAGAGATTTTAATATTTTAAAAGTAGCAGTCACTTTGTTATCTATTCTACTCTGATCCATAAATAAATTCATCAAAAATATTTCAGAGAACAAAATTGTACCTACCTCCCCAAGCCAGGTGAAGGTGCTTGAGAATTACTGTAAGAATTCTGCAGGGAAAAATAAATTTGTTTAACAGCAATATTATACACACACACACACACACACACACACACACACACACACGCACACACACACACATAAACTTTTAAGACACTAGATATCATCAAAAGTAATGGGCTAGGGTTGATCTTAAGGACTTTATAATTGCCAGGTGGTGGTGGCACATGCCTTTAATCCCAGCATTCGGGAGGCAGAGGCAGGCGGATCTTTGTGAGTTCGAGTCCAGCCTGGTCTACAAGAGCTAGTTCCAGGACAGGCTCCAAAGCTACAGAGAAATCCTGTTTCGAAAAACCAAAACAAACAAGCAAACAAAAAAATAAAAATAAAAAAACCAACCAACCAAACAAACAAACAAAAAACCAGCTGTTGCTTTTCCAGAGGACCTGAGTTTGGTTCCCAGAACCCAAGTTGGGTAGCTCTAGCTCACTCCAGCTCCAGAAAATCTAGGTCTTCCTCTGCCCTCTGGGAACAAATGGATGGACACTCACTCTCTCAAATAAATCTTTCAATGTTTTAATTTTTTTGTACAGGCATTTTGTTTAGTATCCTCAAAGGCCAGAAGGGGGTGTCAGATCCTGTGGAACATAGACAGTTGTAATCAGCCATGTGAATCTTGGAAATTGAACCTGGGTCTTTGTATTTGAGACAAGGTTTCTCTGTGTAGTTATAGCTGTCCTGGGAACTCACTCTGTAGACCAGACTGGTCTCGAAATCACAGAGATCCACCTGCCTTTGTATCCCAAGTGCTGGGATTAAAGGTATGCACTACCAACTCATGAAAAACCTGGGTCTTTTGAGAGGACAGTCAGTACTCTTAACCACTAAGCTATCTCTCCAGCCCAACGGATCTTTAAGAACAACAATAAACATTTAAAAGCAACAAAGTGTGTGTGGGTATAAATGCATACCAGAAAAAAGTTATTAAGTGAAAGTTAGGTTCTAGAAGATTTCAAAGATGATACAAAGAAAGGAACAATGAGTAACAGAGATGGATGAAAGGAAACAAAAAAGACACAGGGAAATGAGCCATATTATATACAAAGACAGACAGAAAATAGAACACACATGCCCCATCTAGGTTGTTTAAGAAGGAGTTCAGGCAAGGAATAAGAGATATTTGAGACCAGACCTTGTGCCTGTAGGCAACAGTGAGTTATGGAGGGGTTTTAAAGTCCTAACTACAGCAGGATTTGTGGATAATCTATATGCTACTGGCTTGAAATAAAAAAAAAAAAGACATTTTAGGAAACGACAATAACTTTGTCTGGGCTGGATGTGTAGTTCTGTGGCTAGGCACTCGCTTAGCATGTACAAGATCTGGGTTCAATCCCTAGTAATGTAATGAACAAAACAATACAAAATAACATTTTGAAAAAGGGTGGAGGTGAAAATGAAAAGGACATTTCTGAGTATTGATATGGCTGTTATATACAGTTATGAAAATCTGTAATTCAATATATACATTTGAAGGCTTTTTCAAGAAAGCACAAACATATCTGAGAATTTTTAGGCAGTAGTTAGTTTGTTCATCTCCTGTTATGTTTTACCTAAATATGAGAGCATTTCTGAACAGGGATAAGAAGCTTTGCACATTTTGTATCCTAGGCAACAGACTGCTACACATATTTACCTTAAGGTGCTCAGTCAGCGTCTTGGAGTACTTCAGAGCATTCTCCTTCTTCAGTTTGAACAGTCTCAGGTACAGCAATGACTGGCATCTCAGGCTAGGCAATGAGAAAGGGCAGTGTATTTAGACATGGCTACATGTACAAGCAATCTTTTTATTGTATAGAAATAAAGAACTGGCTTCACGCGAGCAACCATGGCCTAGGGTCAGCATTACCTCTTATACAAAACCACAAGGTCAGATTAATATGGAACATACCCTAAGGAAAGAAAGTAACTAAGAAATTTAGGACTAACATCCCATTAGGCATTGACATTTAAAATTAAAACTACACCAACGTAACACAAATACTTTTAAAAAGTTAAAAACTGAAAGTAGAAAACTGAAACATTAATATTACAACCTTCAAGCACACAGTTTAGCCCACATAACTATTGCTCCTGTCCACATAACCACTAAAGCCCACTCTCACATTCGCTGGTCTATCTGCTCTTTAAGAGTTTTCTTCCCATTCTCTCCCACCATCCAGTCCTTGCCTGCATTGTAACCTCCAGAACAAGTCTCCCAATCCTCTACAGAGTAAGAGGATTTTTTTTTTGAGACAGGGTCTCTATTTTATTTCTTCCTCGATGTCCTGAAACTTGCTATATGTAGACCAGGCTGGCCTCAAACTCAGAGATCCACCTGCCTCTGCCTCCTGGGATCAAAGGTGTGTTCATATATTCACATGATTGATTAGTTTCTGTCTCTCCACACTGGAGTATAGACTCCATAATGGGCAGTATGATGTCAAACTTAGTCCAGAGCTGCATTTCTAGTATAAACACAGTGCATGGTCAAGTATGCAATTCGAATAAGTGAACAGATGACTTCTCTCTGAGACAAAGCAGCAGGAGCACATATAGAAAGGAGAGTCTAGAAAAGCTGCCCTTGACTCCATGGAGGGCTCTAATATCACTACCACTCCAGCGCTTTCATCAAGAGGACTGTGGACCATAGAATGACAGGAGCTAAAATCTTTCAGTAGGGATTCTGAGCTATTTTCTGTTTGACTGCTAAGAAAAGAGATTTTGTGGAAGACTGAGTCAAGGGTAATACTCAAAAAAGCACACACAGCACAATTCATCAAGGACTGTCTGTCACCCAGCAAAAATACACAACACTTACCAAAGTACTGTGAGTCTCTTGTCTGCAGCTGTAGCATCTGGTGCCAAATAATTCTTTAGTTTCATAGTATATCTATGAGTTGAGATAAAAAAATAAACAACAAAAAAAAAACAGGCTATTTCACCTTGATCTCACAACTTCCTATATTCTCAAAATATCAGAATCAAACCTAAATAAAACACCCACTAAAATTCTTCCCTAAGGAAAATGGAACATTACACATCTTCCCAGTTCACAATATTCAGTTAATTAGATAATTAAATAACAATAATAAATGATAAAGTTACTCCATTGAAACGCCAAGTTCCCACTTACTTGATGAGCTCCACCGTGTCTGAGTACATGGGGAATGGGGACTTGGATTCCTGAGCATTCTTCTCTAATGCATTCCCACACTCAATGAAAGACACTACAGCATCAAGGTAGTACACTGCTTTCTCAAACCTATCAGACTAAAGGAGAACGGTGCTGAGTAAAGACACAATGCAAGGATAAAAAACAGGAAGGACACAGCAGCCTAACAAATCACATCAGGAAGAACATTTACGTACCAAAGCATCTGCATTATGTTTGAGTTTTTTTGCTTCTTGTAAATAATGGTCTGCTGAGTAATTTCTGCAAAATAAATTTTCTTTATAAACAAAGAGTCAACATTTCCTAAGATAGTATGTTAATCTAGTATCTTATAGCTTTCACATTCTCAAGAAGTGAGTAATTCTCAAACATTTCAGTGTTCTGAGTAATATATAGAGATTAAGAGCATAAATTATGTGCTACTGTGGCAAATCTACTGAAGCACACAGAGATCAAGTTCCCTAGTATTAAACACTAACTTATTTAAGTTGTTTTATAAAATCAAAAGTATATAGGGTGCAGGTAGGAGAAGTACCGTCTAAAAGAAGGCAAGAGAAAGTAACACTCTTATCTGAGAAGATTCTGTTATCCACAGTACATTGGCAGCAGCAGCAGCAGCAGCTCTAGGAAGCACACCCTTCCTATCTCTGGTAAGCCACTGGTTGTTAAAAAGTAGCTGAACCAGCCAAATGGTGGTGGTGCACGCCATTAATCCCAGCACCTGGGAGGCAGAGGCAGGCAAATCTCTGTAAGTTTGAGTCCATCCTGGTCTATAAGAGCTAGTTCCAGGACAGGATCCAAAAACACAGAGAAACCCTGTCTTGACAAACCAAACAAAAGATGCTTTTCAAGTTAAAACCTGAATATTCTGTAGGTCAAATACATGTATTAATCCTATAAGAACTGACATATTCAAATGAATTTCTTATATGCTGATTGGAATTTCTTAATGCACACACAAAAGTATATTTATGTCTTTACAGCCGGCACAGTGTTGCACACCTTTAATCTCAGTATTCAGGAGGCTGAGGTAGGTCAATCTCTAAGAGTTTGAGGCTAGCTTGGTCTACATAGCGAGCTCCAGGTCAGCTAAGGCTACACAGTGAGATTTTGTCTCAAAACAAAACAAAAACAAACAAAACAAAAAACCCACAAAATTTACCTCACCTGTCATCAAAGGCAAGCTTTGTTCTCCGAGGCTTCGAAGAATCAGGAGTTGGTGTAGATGGAGGGCAATTAGAGGAGCTACTTGGAGCCTTTTCCTGATGAAAAGAATATATATAGCTACATTGAAAATTGTCAGGAGACTAAAAATGAAGCTAATCTCACCTCCTCAGCCACTGCTAAAACAGAAGCAAAATTCTACAGTCTTCAAATTTCTTTGTTATTAAATTCCATAGTACTTAAAATAGATTGGGCTCATTTTATACAACCAAAATGTTTATTCTTATATCTACTACATGCAAGGCACTCAGGCTAGGTACTTGTTAAAACATAAGGAAGACAGAAACTGGGTATCAAAATGGCAGTAGTGGGTTGGTAGGATGGGTGAGTAGGTCAACACGTGTGCTGTGAAGCAAGAGAACCTGAGTTCAAATCCCCAGCACCTGCGTAAAAGCTGGGCATGGCTGTACATTCCTGTAACTCTAGAGCTGTGAGGCAAAAAACAGGCACATTCAGAGAGTGGGTGAGATTCTAAGTTCAACGAGTAACTGAAATGGAAGAGCTTCAGGTTCAAAGAGAAACTCTGTCTCAAAGAATTAATAAAGGGCTGGAAAGATGGCGCAGCAGTTAAGAGCACTGGTTGCTATTACAGAGTACTTAGGGCCAGTCCTAAGCACCCACACAGTGGCTCACAATCACCTGATCCAGTTCCAGGAATCCAATATTTTCTTCTGACCTCTGTGGGCACCAGACACACTAGTAGTGAATATCACACAAACATGCATACAAAACATTCATACATGCACATTTTTTTGTTTGTTTTCCTCTGTGTAGCTTTGGAGTGTGTCCTGGAACTTGCTCTGTAGACCAGGCTGTCCTTGAACTCACAGATCTACCTGCCTCCGCTTTCTGAATTCTGGGATTAATGGTATGCACCACCCACCACTCGGCCACATAAATTTTTTTAAAAAAGCATTTAAAAAGAAAACACTTTAGCTAGGTGATGGTAGTGCATGCTTTAATCCCAGCATTTAGGAAGCAAAGGTAGGTGGATCACTTTGAGTTTGAGGCCAGCCTGGTCTACATAGAGAAACCCTGTCTCAAAACAACAAACAAACAAACATGATAAAGTTCAGTAGGAAATGATAACTACGGCCCTCCCCTGGCCTCTGCATACATGCATGGACACACAGATGCACATATCCCCCCCCCCCAAAAAAAAGCACAACAAAACAAAAAACTAGAGGGCAGTACCACTCAGGAAAACACATATTACGTGTGGTAGCACATGCCTTTAATTACAACACTCAGTCAGGAGGATTTCTCTAAATTCAAGAACAGCCTGGTCTACACAGCAAGTTCAAGTCACTCAGGGCTATACAGTAAGATCCAGTCTCAAACAAAGAAACAAAACAAGAACAGAGGTTTATTACTAAGGCCTAGTTAACTACTCAGTATGGTTGTTATCCTTCAACTAATCTACGAAATAAGCATTACGGTTAGTTAGTTTTTCTGTTGTCATTGTTTTAAGGTAGTCTAATCTAAGAAGCTGGAAAGAAGGTTCAGTGAATAAGAATACTTCTTGCTCCTCCAGAGGACATTAGTCTGTTTCCCAGCAGCTCACAAACTGCCTATAACGGCAGCTCCAGGGGTATCTGATACCTATAGCTTCCAAGTGTAGATACTCATGTCTATATAAAATATAAAGATACATACTCACAATTTAAAATGAAAACGAAACAAAACAAAAAGCATCTGAGTACTGGGGTGAGAACTACTCCTTGAGATATGAGGCAATACTATACCCTGGAGTAAAAAGAGAGACAAAAAGTAAAAAGAGAGTAAAAAATATGACAGCTGTGTCATTTCGGTGGGGGACTGGTGTTCAGCTCTTTCCTTGCTCTGAGAAGATAATGTGCAAACTTTGGTACTGGGCTTCTAGAACTAGTGTTTCTATCACTACCAGTCTGTGATGATACCATGGCAACTCTGGCTAACTAATACAATCATAAATTCACTAGATAGCTGAGGTGAACTTCCAATTTAATTTGCAAAGTTCTAAGCTTTGTTCTTTCCATACCAGTGATTGTCTGTCTCTTCTAAACCAACATCAATGTACTACTTGTATACATTTCTATAACAATAAAGGCTTACTGACAGTATCAGCTTGTAGTAATATTTCATTTGTATTTTAATAAATAAAACTTGCCTGAAAATAGAATACAAAACTGCCACATACTAGTCAGCCATACAGGCCAGGTAGTGGTGGTGCACACCTTTAATCCCAGCACTAGAGAGGAATATAAGGTGGGATGAGACAGGAACTGGCTCTCTTTCAGTCTGAAGATTTCATAGAAGTAAGAGCTCTCTAGTGGCTTGGCTGCTTTGGTTTTCTGATCTTCAAGTTGAACCCCAATATCTGTCTCTGGGTTTTTATTACTCATGCTACATCAGCTAAGACATTATTGACTGAATACTTATAGGTTACCCTGTGAAGAAAACATCATGCAATTGGCTGAAGAAGTAAGCAAAGGGCTAAGTGAGTAAGTCAGCTACTTAACTTCTATTCTTAACTCTAGGCTTTCTTTAGACTTCACTTCCTCTGGAAAAATTCAATGACTCTAATGTGAATACCCATTCTAAGATTTGCTATAGGGTTCCGTGGTAGCACACGCCTTTAATCCCAGCACTTGGGAGGCACTCAGGGCTGTTACACAGAGAAACTCTGTCTCAAAAAAAAAAAAAAAAAAAAGGTAAAATGAAAACAACCAAACACACAAACCAATGGTAAAGTGAGAGTATGCCTGCCTATAGTCCCACAATTTAGAAGGCTGAGGCAAGAAGATCTCAGCCAGGCGGTAGTGGTGTATGCCTTTAATCCCAGCATTCAGGAGACAGAGGCAGGTAGATCTCTGGGAGTTCGAGGCCAGCCTGGTCTACAAGAGCTAGTTCCAGGACAGCCTCCAAAGCTACATAGAGGAGTAACCCTGTCTTGAAAAACCAAAAAGAAAAAAGAAAAACAGAGAAAGAGTTAGTAAGCAGGTAAAAATAGAACAGTGAAGGAGGGCAACAGAACACTCATTGCCCTTGGGATGTTGGGTGAGCTCCCCAAGTTAGTAAAGAAACAGGATGTTTGTTTAGAGAGAAATCCATTTGTACAACACAGGTTGAACTTACAGATATCCGCCCTTTTCCTAGTACTGGGATTAAAAGTGTGCTCCATTAAGTCTGGCTTAATTTAAAATCTTTTTTTTTTTTTTTTGGTTTTTTCGAGACAGGGTTTCTCTGCGGCTTTGGAGCCAATTTTAACACATTGAATAGTCATAACAGCCTATAGCAGTCTAGAATATTGATTTCCAAATTTTTGTTTACTCAATTAACAAAATTCCAGTACATTATATTCTTAAAAAACTTAAGCTTCTTAATTTTCACTCTAATATTGTAATGTTATGAACTTGTTCCTGACTGGGACAGTTTGGAAAGCAGATGAACAACCTGGTCATTTGGGAGATTGTGACAGGTGGATCAGGTTTTTTACACATCCAAGTTATGCTACATAGTGAGATCTGGTCTTAAGGGGGAAAAAAAGATAATATCATAAACATATTGAGGTCTACTAAAGCCCAGCCTTGAGAAACCTTTTTGGACCCAAATCTCCATCTATAAACACCAAGGTTATTCAACTATATCACTGCTATGTTAAGGATGACCATTTGAAGCCAGGTGTAGTAGCACACATTTTTAATCCCAGCATTCAAAAGGCAGAAGCAAGTGGATCCCTTTGAGTTCCAGGCCAGCCAAGGAAAACTACATAGTGAGACCTCAATAAATAAATAAATAACCACATGTGGTGGCATAATTTACAACTCTACTATTCCTATAGAGGGAAACTGCCCAGAAATTTGAGAGATCCTGCCTCAACAAGATGAAAAGTGAGAACTAATTCTTAAAAGTTGTCCATACACACACAGTCACTCATTTTAAAACAAAACAAAACAAAACAAAACAGGCCTACAACCTTAATGAGATGATGTTTACAACCCCGAGGAAGACATGCAGGGTGATTTTCAAAGGCTCAAGCCCCAGCACCATACCTTGGTCTCTTTGGAGCTGCTGGAAACCTTCCCTTCAGTCTTCTTTTGCTTTGAAGTGGAGGAGCTATTCTTGCTGCTGCCACTATTCTCCTTGTTGTTGGTGCTGCTGGATTTTAAGGAAGAAGACTGACTAACAGTCCTCTTCCGAGAGCCATGCTCTGGTTTTGAATCTTTTGAAGGAACAGGCCCAGCAGGTGAAGGCAGCAAGTCCTTTTCTTTTGTACTACTCTGCTTAGATGACCTGCCAAACAAAATAAATGTCCTCATTTCTGCAGAGTAATATAGGACTGAAGAATTTCCCACTCTTTCACTAGCTTTTAAGGCAAATTTGCAAAGACATTCTCCATATGATTGCAAAACAAAAAGAGTGTAAATTCCATAAAGTAGTCATCTTGTTTCTTCCTCCACCTGCCCCCATTGACTTGTTTTCTCTTTTCTACAATAATGCCCAGTGCCTGAACAACCCCACACAATAAATATTCTGTGCTGGCTAGTTTTATGGCAACTTGACACAGGCAAGAATCATTTAAGAGATGGGAACCTCAACTGAGAAAATGCTTCGATAAGTCTGGACTTGTAGGCAAGCCTATAGAACATTTTCTTAATTAGTGGTCGATATGGGAGGACCCAGCCCATTGAGGATGATGCCTGGGCTAGTGGTCATGGGTTCTATAATAAAGCAGCCAGATCAAGCCATGGAAAGCAAGTAAGCCAGTTAGCAGCACCCCTCTATGGTCTCCTATCCTGTTTGTCCCAGCATCAGCTCCTGCCTCCAGGTTCCTGTCCTGTTTGAGTACCTGTCCTAACTTCCTTAAGTGATGAGCAGTTGAAGTGATGAGAAAACATAAGCCAAGTAAACTCTTCCCTCCTCAAGCTGCTTTTAGGTTACAGCAATAGTAACTTACTGGGATATATTCTTATCTCACTAAAAAAAAGAAGAGAGTAAATACTTCCCATTTCTATTAGCTAAAAGCAAAGCTCTTAACTTACTACTTCTGCATGTGCATAAATGTACATGACATTTGGTCATTAAAAGAAATACTCTGAAGTATGTAAAAAAAAATATCCAACAACAAATGGCCAATACTGGTATGCAACATGATTTGGGGACATACTCTCTGTTGCTGGATGGCTTGTGGCCTGATGGGTTCTTGTCCTCCGTTTTGGGTTTTTTGCTCTCACTGGCTCGGTTATCATCATCATTCTAGACAAAAAGAGAAACAAACAGTAGTAGATCTTAAGCATGATAAGTTTGTCCTATGTTGGATCTACACAGCCTAAACACTATACCAGATTTCCCTAAAGTCTTCGATGGCTATCTCTTTTATGTAATAATTCTAGGGTCAGACAGATTCACAGAAATATAATCAAGATGTAACTCACAAACCATAAATCCACCCTTTAAAAGCACATAATTCTAAGGTATTTAGTTAATCAGAATTGTACAGCTATCATCACAATCGATTGTAGAACATTTTTATCATCCTTCAAAGACACTCAGGTCAGCGGTCAGTTCACAACTTTTTCTCCAAGGCCATGATAATCTTTAATCTGCACACACGGTCTTTCTAGACATCGCATATGAGAGGAATCATATAATGGGATCTTTGCTACCTGGCTCCTTTTTAAGTATACTCTTTTTTTTTGTTTTGTTTTGTTTTTTTGTTTTTCGAGACTGGGTTTCTCTGTAGTTTTGGAGCCTGTTCGGGAACTAGCTCTTGTAGACCAGGCTGGCCCCGAACTCACAGAGATCCGCCTGCCTGCCTCTGCCTCCTGAGTGCTAGGATTAAAGACATGCACCACCACCACCTGGCTTAAATATACTCTTTTAATGATTCATATCAGTTATGGTTGGATAGTATTCCATTATATAGCTATAACATACTTTATTTATTCATCAGTTAATAGCCAGTTTTTGACTAAAATGACTGTGAGCACTATAATAATAAGTTTTTTGAGACAGGGCTTCTCTGCCTAACAGTCTAGCTATCCTGGAACTCACTTTGTAGACCAGGCTGTCCTCGAACTCACAGAGCTCTGCCTGCCTCTGCCTCCCTGAGTGCTGGGATTAAAGGTATGCACCACCACCGCCCAGCTCCATACTTTCTTAGATATATACCTGGGCTAAGCAGGGGTAGGGAAGTGGGAGAATAGGGTGGTGGCACACGCCTTTAATCTCAGCACTCGGGAGGCAGAGGCAGGCAGATCTCTGTGAGTTCCAGGCCAGCCTGATCTACAAGAGCTAGTTCCAGGACAGCCTCCAAAGCTACACAGATACCCTGTCTTGACTTATAAATGGTGGATTAAAAGGTAATTGTAAATTCAGCTTTTCGAGAAACTGCCAACTATGTTCCAAAAGTAGCTGCATCTCACAATTTTACGAGCACTGCGTGGAAGTTCCAACTCTACAATTTCATCAGCACATGAATGTACTGCTACTTACTAACAGCTTCGCCTTATCATCTCTGAAAAATGTCTTGGCAGAATCACTAGTGGAAAGTCTAACTACTATTGATGTTACTTCCATAAGTGAATGTAGTAAAGCAATAGGAATGCAAACAAATAGTCCACCCCTACTGTAATAGAAGTCTGCTTGCCACCAAGAGTAAATTCAGATAAATGAAGCCATGAGAAAAAGTCACCTACCGACTGCTTACCAGTGACAGGGTCTTCTCCCAGTATTATCAGCATAACCTCATGGAACTGCCCTGACACTTCACCAAGATAACATTTAAATAATCCTAATTCTTAGGGGATGGCTGAAAAGGTATCTGAGTGGTTAAAAGTCACTGGCTGCTTTTGTAGAGGATCTGGGTTCTAAGTACCTATATGGTAGCTCACAATCATCTCTAATTCAAGTTCCAGGGGATCTAACACCCTCTTTTGACCTCCTTGGGCACCAGGCATAATATGGTGTATACACAGGCTCTACATAAAGCTGACCTTATATACTAAGCTTTGTCTTTAAATTATCTTAAAAGTTTATAGGGATGAGACTAGGTTGTGTGCCAACAAACTTCCTTCCCATGTTGGAGCTAATTCAGGACTTCACACATGCTCAGCAAGAGTTCTACCACTGCCCCACAGGGAATGTTCTGAGTACTGACCTGTGTTAATGGAAAAAACCTAGGCACATGGGTGTATAGTGGATGGGTGAAATTCTCAAGGATGTGTATGTCACAAAATAATGAGTCAGTTTTGCTTACATTAGGCTAGTAATAAAGTATGGCTTGACCTGAATGTACGACAGGAAAGGATACATACATTGAAAGACTTTGGGGCACCTTAGCAGTACTGCACCCCCCTTCCTGAGAACCAAGGGACCCTGGTAACCAACCACGCGTACACTGGAGCTTTGAGTACTTTCCATCCCCTTTGTAGTCTTTCTTCAATAGACTCAGACTCTGGAACTAGGGTGAGATGACCTGCAGATTACCTACCTGCAAGTGTTCCTCCTTGTTCAACCAACCCAGCAACTGCCATAGCATTGATCAATTAAAGTTAGCTGACTGTTAAATGGACTAGTCAAAATAGTTGACAAATGACTTCTGGACTCTCCCTTTTGATTCTGTACTACCCCCTCCTTGATTCTGTGGGGTTTTTTTTCTTTTAAAAGAGCCTGTAATAGACAAAGCAGAAGTCCTTCTCCTCTTGAGGCTGCGGGACCTCTGCCGCAGCTGCAAAATAAAAATTCCTCTTGCTACTGCATCAACCGCACTGAGAGTGTCTCTTGGGGCGACCTCCTCCTTGGTGGGGCTTTAGGGCCCGACAATATTACATTCCTACTACAGATTTTGGGATTTTTTGTTTGTTTGCTTTTGTTTTGTTTTTTTCAAGACAAGGTTTTGCTGTGGTTTTAGAGCCTGTCCTGGAACTAGCTCTTGTAGACCAGGCTAGCTTCGAACACCCACTGATCCGTCTGCCTTTGCTTCCCGAGTGCTGGGATTAAAGGCGTGCGCCACCTACTCCAAATCTTGACTATTTGAAAAATCATCTTGCTTTACGTAAGAAGACAGAGCATTTTACTTATATAGTATCAGGAAGGCCTTGCACTCAATTACATTTTCCCTTACAGCTCATAATCCACAAACTATATTTCCATAGCATCTAAAAATGAACAAATAGGGCTGGCAAGTTATCTCTGCAGGTGAAGTATGACAACCTGAGTTCAAGCCCCAGGATCTACATGATAGGAAGAAACTGACTCCCACAGCTGTTCGCTGGCTTCCAGATATGCACTGTGGTATGTGCACACACCGCACATACATACAAACTGTAATTTAAAGCAACAGTGGCTGGATGGTGGTGGCGCAAGTCTTTAATTTCAGCACTCAGGAGGCAGAGGCAGCAGATCTCAGTGAGTTCAAGGCCAGCCTGAGCTATAAGAGATAGTTCCAGGACAGTCAGGACTGTTACATAGAGAAATCCTGTCTCAAAATAACCAAACCAAAACAAAACAAAACCCAGCAACAGTGACTATGTATGTAAAGCAAAATAGCAAGTACTTGAGGATAGAGTGATGGCTCAGCAGTTTAGGGCACTTGCTATTCTTCCAGCAGGACCAATAACCAGTAACCAGTCATGTAGCTCCCAACTAGCTGTAACTGGCTCCAGTGAATTTGACACCCTCTACCAGCTTCCAAAGAAACATACACAGGCATGAGTATACATACAAACACAGAAACAGACACAAGACAGACAGACACACACAGAGCATATACTCACAGACAAACATAAATAAAAACTATTAAAAAATAACTAGTGTTTTAATATTAAGATGTTTAAGTACATGGAAAGCTGAAACAAAATTATTTCTAAAACAATAACAACAACAAAGAAACCCCATAAGAACCATAGCCCCTTACAAACCTTGTGTTTCCTCTTGCCTTTGTTGGAAGCCTTTTCTGAGGTTTGCTTCTGCACCTCTTTCACGTGTTTTTCTGGCACATTTTTCTTGTCCCCCTTGGGTGGTTCTGTTTCTTTGTAAGGCTTTCCCGGTATTCTAGTCAAGAGATTCAGGTCAATCTTCACAATAAGTGGATACCTGTCGTCGGGCTCACTGAGTGGGGAAAGAAGCTCCTTCTCTTCCATAGGAGAGAACATTCGTTGCCGAAAAAAGCTATCTTCTTCCTCCACGGAGGAGGGCTTGACAGGAGTCCTATTGCTTTCGGGGTACTTAGGAGTCTGGGAGGAAGGAGGGGGGCTCTCACTTTCATCTGAATCTGAGGACGAGGTATCTGTTTCTATGATTTCCCGAGATTTCTGGGAAGATTTGCCTGATGACTTGTATTTCTTTTTTTCTGCTATAGGTCGAGGGGAAGATTTTGATTCCTTTTTGATGTTGGGTTTTCTTGAGCCTTTGGTAGCTGCTTTGTGCCTGCTGGAGGGCATGCTGGTAGCCATGTCTACAGGGGTTTCACTTTCTATCTTCAGGCCTCCACGGGGCTCTTCAGCAGCTGACTTCTCAGTTTTTTTGGGTTGTTTTTTGCCTACAGTTCTCCTCTGTGTGGTGTTGTCACTCTGTGCAGGAGACTTTTGCCTCCCACGCCCACTTTCTGATCCTTTTTGGATAGTTTTAGAGTCTCGTCCCGGAGTAGCAGAGCTTGTTTCTTTCGGCCCTCCAGGATCAGTGTAGTTATTCCCGGCACCCTGTTCTCGACCTTCTTTTTTGTAGGCCTGAGACGATGGGATGTTACTGTCTACAGAAGAAGCTGGGGATACTTTATGTGGGTTCACTTTGTTCAACCAATTATCAAGTTGCCATTTGTTTGTTGGTGGTGGTTCAGGCTGAAAAAAAAAAAACAGAAAAATAACATAAATGTAGGGTATTTTTCCTCCCAATACTCCAGTTCTCCCCCTCTTTATAAAGTCAAGTAAGAGGAAAAAGAATAATGCTTAAGGTAACAAGCATTTGTTTGTCAAGTTTCTGCCAGGATTAAAGCACAGGTAAAATACTATTAGCTCTAGTCACTTGGCCTCCTGAGTGATTACAGGTAGAGACACAATGAACAGCATATGACAAATGGCCTTTAAATAACCAATATTCCAGTTCGGAGTTCAATTTGAAAGGTACTATTGCAAATGACTTCATTCTAGAGAGTAAAGATGATGTCAGTACCAGGAGACTTTCAGCTGCACTGTCCAATCTACAGTGCAATTAGACAACATGAGATACAGTTCGTTTTCAGTAACTACAATAATACAAATTCCTTGCTAAGAGGCAAAAGTAAGGATTAAATCCTAATTTTTAAAAAAGCTTTTAAAATAATAAGGAAACCAAAATGGTTTAGGTTTTCTATAAGATACATGGTTCAACTGCCTTTGATCAAAATATGCAGTGATGGGCTGAGTGGATATCATGAAAGAACTTGAGGGCTATGGGAGCAGCCCCCCTCACCTCAGGAGATGCATTCTGTGAGGGCTCATTTGCCTCACTGTCACTGGAGCTACTTTCACTCTCTGAGTCAGAGCCAGAGCTGCTTTCAGATCCACTGTGGCTGCTTGAGTCATCCCTGGAGTTATCTGCTCCCTCACTATTATGATGTGACGGTTCAGAGTTACTGAAGGAGATAAAATAGAAATGAAAAAAGTTTCCTTTAAAAACAAAACCCACCCAAATCTGACAACTAGACTTGGTTACGATGTGTGCATATGCTATTACATTTAAAGGAACACAGAACTTCATTACAAATGAATAGACATCTCCCAAAAGTTTCTAATGCATCACTCATCTAATAATACTCATTTTTAACATACCTTAAAATTCACCCAGTCTGAGTACATAATTTAATGAATTTTAATTAATAGAACTATACAACCACCATCACATTTGGCATTATTTATAAGACCACTTATGATACCCCACGATTTTAAATCAACCGAGTCTCAGCTATCAAAACAAGACAACCACAGAATAAAAGGATTTCATTCCCTACCTTCCTGGTGTACTCCTTGGCATTGTCTTATCACAGTCCTAAAAGTGAAGCATAAGAAATCTGTGAAATGACTAATACTATGAATGCCTGAACTAAAACAACAAAAATGGCTTCTTTAACACAAGCATCAATATTTACTTAATACAGTGATTTAAAAAAAACAAAACAAAACAAAAACAGAACACCACAGCACTCAGAAGGTGGAAGCAGTAGGATCATGAGACTGAGGCTAGCCTGGGCCACTTGGTGAAACATTGCCTCAAAATAAAACCAATAACCAAAACACCACAAACAATAACAAACCAGGATCCTGTTTTTATGTAAACAAGTAGTACTTGGGCTGGAGAGGTGGCTCAGAGGTTAAGAGCACTGACTGCTCTTCCAGAGATCCTGAGTTCAATTCCTAGCAACCACACGGTGGCTCACAACCATCTGTAATGAGACCTGGTGCCCTCTTCTGGCCTGAAGGCAGAACACAGCATACATAATAAATAATCTTTTTTTTTTTTTAAATAGTACTTGCCTAGCTCAAACCCCAGGAGTACTACTACTACCAAACAACAACAACAAAAAAGACTAAGACTTAAAAAAGTTTGGGGTTGGAGATGGCTTATCAGTAAGAGCACTGACTGTTTTTGCAGAGGATCCAGTACATACATGGTGTTCACGACCATCTGCAATTCCAATTCACAGGTAAAGCTCGATAAATATCAATAAAAGAAGATGTATAAAAAAAAGATGGTATCTCAAAGTTGTTTTGATTTGCATTTCCATGACAGCTAAGGAAGAAGAACATGTCCTTCAGTATCTTTTGGCCATTTGAAATTCTTCTGTTGAGAATTCTCTGTTTAGTTGAGTACACCACTTTTTAATTGGGTTATTTAGAATTTTAATGTCTAATTTCTTGAGTTCTTTATAAATTTTGGAGATCAGTCCTTTGTTTGATGTGGGTTGGTGAAGATTTTTTTTAAAGTATTTATTTATTTATTTATTTATTATGTATATAATACTCTGTCTGTGTGTATGCCTGCTAGCCAGAAGAGAGCACCAGACCTCATTACAGATGGTTGTGAGCCACCATGTGGTTGCTGGGAATTGAACTCAGGACCTTTGGAAGAGCAGGCAATGCTCTTAACCTCTGAGCCATCTCTCCAGCCTGGTGAAGATTTTTTTTCCTATTCAGTAGGCTGCCTTTTTGTCTTATTGACTGTGTCCTTTGCTTTACAGAAGCTTCTCAGTTTCAGGAGGTCCCATTTATTTATTGATGCTCTTATTGTCTGTGCTACTGGGGTTTATTTAGGAAGTGGTCTCCTGTGCCCATGTATTGAAGGTTACTACTTCCCACTTTCTCTATCAGGTTCAGTGTGGTCGGACTTATATTGAGGTCTTTAATACATTTGGACTTGAGTTTTGTGCATGGTGACAGATATGGATCCATTTTCATTCTTCTACATGTTGATATCCAGTTATGCCAGCACCATTTGAAGAGTGGAAGGAATGAGAGCCATTGGGAGCTCACCAACTCCAACTGGAATGGGAGTGAGCAAGCATGGGAACAACCAAGCCCCTCTGAAGGAGGCTGACAGATGGGGCAGACTGAGGGGCCACTAATAGTGACACTAGGATGTGTCTCTACTGCATATACCGGCTACATGGGATCCTATTCTCTTTGGATGTAAACCTTGCTCAACCTAGATGTAGTAGGGAGGGCCTTGAGCTTTCCGCGGGGCGGGGTTCATGGCACTCCCTTAGGGTTGGAGGTGTAGGGGGAGGGTCTGTGGAAGGAGAGGAAGGGGACTGGGAGGAGGGGAGGGAGTGGGAATTTGGATTGCTATTTTTTTAAGTAATAAAAGAGAAAGAAAAAAATCCAGTTCTAGAAGATCCATACATATAAAAAAATAAACATTTTTAAAACTTTCATAAATATTTCTTATAAATAATCTCCTGCTTCAAAATTATGTTCTGGTCCACAATAAATGTTAAGCAAAAGTGCTGGGCAGTGGTGGCACACACCTTTAATCCAGCACTTGGGAGGCAGAGAAAGATATCTGTGAGTTCAAGGCCAGCTTGGTGAGTTCTAGGATAGGCCCGAAAGATAAAAGAGAAACCCTGTCTTGAAAAACAAAATTAAATAAATAAGAAACAAACAAATTAAATGTGTGTATGTTAAGAAAAAAAAATCAATCTAAAAACAAAAAACAACAAAAAAAGAAGCTTAAAGACATTTCAGAAAAGACTACAATCATCCAGTGTAAGAGAGCTTGCAGGAAAAGGTACTGATCTTGAGCTAAGACACAGTGAAAGAGTCATATAAAGGACTGACAGATTGCATAGCAGACACACCTGTTCCCCATCACTGTCTTCACTGCTGCTTAGTTTTAAGTCATCTTTTAACATACTAGAGGGAAAAGGCAGAAAGGAGCATTAATTAATCACAGCAGGCCAGAGTACTAAGAACTTAACAATAATTCTAAGAATATTCATTATGTTAGCCAAAAATTGAAACACATATACACACACACTCTCTCTCCTGTTTGCATTTGTTCACATTCTAGTAAAAGCATTTAAACCGGGCAGTGGTGGTGGCACACGCCTTTAATCCCAGCACTAGGGAGGCAGAGGCAGGTGAATCTCTGAGTTTGAGGCCAGCCTGGCCAACAGATCTAATTTCAGGGCAGCCAGGGCTACATAGAACAACCATGTCTCATAAAACAAAAATAAAAATTAAAGAAAGCAAAATTTAGTGTTCTGCAAAGAGAGCAGTGGTCATGACAAGAACAAAACTTCTAATCCCATAAATAAAACATTCAATCTTGTTTTCTAGATAAACTCTCACATACACTCCTGTTACAACAAACATGTCTCTAATTGTACACCTGTATGTATACTAAAACAATTAATAAAGCTTTGGTCTACTAGATATGACTCCTAAAGAGAAGCAAGATAAAATTAAAGCATCAAGCAATCCCTTTTTTGTCTCCATGGTCCATGAAAAGAAAGAACTGAGTACTTCTGGATCGGATAACTGAAAACCTTAACACAATTTCCCTAATCAAAGTTCTGGTTCATAACTGCCTTACTATGAAGACAAGCGACATCAGTAGAATTTTGAGTAAGAAATGAATGTGTATGAATTTTTAAATCCAAGTTGCAAATCTTCCTTCACCGAAACTCAAGCTGAATTAAAAATATATAAATACAATAAGCTGACAATTTCTACAACTTATTTTGAAAGTAAAATCAAAGGTTTAAGTTTTCTTTAAGTTCAAAATTATTAGATTTAAAATCTGAGTAACACAAAACATTCTGTATTTTGTTGCTTTTTTTTACATGAAAGAAAAATTCACGTAAAGTTTGAGAGCTCTGCACCTAGAAATACTTACTTCTTCATTACCCCCCTGTTTAAAGGGTTCGAGTCTCCAGTCAGCAGAAAGAGGTCTTCTCACAGCAGTAACTATTTGCACTCTCCCCTCAAAGCCTAATCTGCATTTCTAAATCTGACCACAAATTCAAAATACACATAACACACAAATCACCTGGAAATAAGTAACCAGATGAGAAGTGTTTTAAAATTAGTTCAGTAAATGAAATTTTTAAAAAGTTTTCTTTTGAACAAGGGTTTAGCATAGCTAAAAGACAGATTTCCAGTAAAGAAAATGTACTTGCTCTGAATTCTCTCAGCCCTTATGATTTAATAATGGCAGCTCAATGAACCTGTTTACATATGTGAGTATGTCAAAGCCTTTACAACACTGCTCTAGGTGCAGCATGTTTTTGTTTCCTCAGCAACCAAAGTGGTATGCCCATATCTAGCAGACAGGCACTATTAGTTTGGGGCATAAAGATGTGATGACAGGGATATAGTGAGTTTCTCAGCAGGGCATGGAAGTTGTTTTTATTCATGTATTTCCTTCCTAGTCCTCCTTTTGTTACATGAAGAGGTTATTCGGTTGAGGTTAGCGCTGTGGTCTGTCGCTGTGGCACAGGAAGCCACCTAATGGCTATTTCTTTGGAACTTTGTTGTAATCACTGAGTTAACCTGTGATCTCAGGAGTTCGAGTACTCACTCTCTAGATGTAATTTATTATCATGTAATATACCAACCCCTACTATGATACATATTTCTGATTCGATTCTACCTACAAAATATAATAAAAATATGAAAACTAAAAGATAATATAAACTATGTTGCATTTGGTGGCTAAATGGAAGATTTATTAAGAAGAATTCTATCTTTAACACATTTTTTTAAATTAAACATTCAGTGGTGGCGCACACCTTTAATCCAGCACTCAGGAGGCAGAGACAGGTAGATCTCTGTGAGTTTGAGGCCAGTCAGGTCTATAGAGTGAGTTCAAGGACAATCAGGTGATGTAGAAAGTTCTTCTGTATATATTTTGCTTTTATTGCTTAATGAATAAAAACTTACTTGGCCTGATGGGACAGAGTAGAGCTACACAGGGAAAACTAAAATGAATACTGGGAAAAAGAAGGCAGAGGAGTCAAGAGAAAACATGTAGCCCTGCCAGAGACAGACACTGGACGGAACTTTATCCGGTAACCACAGCCAAATTGCAATACACAGATTAACAGAGATGGGTTATATTAATATATAAGAGTTAGGCTGAAGTGGGAGTCCCCTCTGTATACTGTATTACCATTAATGAATAAAGAAACTGTTTTGGACCTAAGGCAGGGCAGAGTTTAGGGGCAGGGAAAACTAAACTGAATGCTGGGAGAAAGAAGGGTGGAATCAGAGAAGCCATGTAGCCCTGCCAGAGACAAACACAGGAACTTTATCTGGTAAGCCACAGCCATGTGGCGATACACAGATTAATAGAAATGGGTTAAATTAATATGTAAGAGTTAGCCAATAAGGAGCTAGAGCTAATGGGCCAAGCAGTGATTTAAATAATATGGTTTCTGTGTGATTATTTAGGGGTTGAGCAGCTGGGAACAAACAAGCGGCACTACAATATACAACAGTCAGAGCCGGGCGATGGTGGCACACGCCTTTAATCCCAGCACTGGGGAGGCAGGCGGATCTCTGTGAGTGCGAGACCAGCCTGGTCTACAGAGCTAGTGGCAGGACAGGCTCCAAAGCCACAAAGAAACCCTGTCTCGAAAAACCAAAAAAAAAAAATATATATATATATATATATGTGTATAT